TGAACCCCAGGAAGGAAACAGCAGAAACTGACAGTGGCTACTAACAAGTACCAGTGGACTCCTGCACCCTCATGTGTACAGTTAACCTGGCAAATAATGCCTGTCTGCCTCCATTTGAGATTGCAGAATCTTCTTTTCCCAAACCGCATGCCAGCTAGACGTGCACTTTTCGTTTCTGACAGGCGCATTAAGAAAAATAATGGCCCTGCCAGTTGGCATTTCGGGCTCTGGATCAGTTTCATTTTGGTTAATAAACATCAGCCATCATATCAGGTTGTCAAGCTCCTCTAAGGAGATGATGCAGAATGAGAACAGACAAATTAAGATTGAACTTTGTGTTTTAATTAAGGCTGTTACCGTACTGCCTCTTTCTCATTTGAATACTACAAATACTGCAAAGAAAAAAAGAAAAGTTCCACAGTGGGTCTCTGCTGCCCCCTGTAGCGCAACACTACAAGACTTATGACTACTATAACACTAAATGTCTCCTTTGAGAAATCGAACTTCATATTGGGAGTTAGATGGGAAAGTGTGAGAATGAAAAGTTACTGAAGACTGCAGCTGCTGATAGAGCATCTTGGTGCTGTGATTAACTCTGTAGAACACGAAGAGCACGCTGGTTTTAAGTAGTGAGTATTCAGGTTACTTTGTGATTTTATGTGTGTGGGTCTCACATACTGTATACTGCATACAATATATTATATGAATAGATGATAGACAAGTAGTACATCTGCTGCAGTTCACCTCAATGCATTATAGCTCAGGCCTATTTCACAAAAGAAGCATGCAAATTCTTCTGTTTTTTTTTCCTCCAGACAGAATTTAAAAATGAAATGTGAAGCAAAGAAAATAACAAAATTACAACAGCATTCTTCACAATATTTTTTTTTTATGTGCACATTCACCAGCTCCCAGACTTATAGAAAGAGTGACTCTAATAAAATATTTATTTTATGGGTTTGTAAGTAACATTAAGTGATATATTTCACATTTTATATTTATTTCTTATTATTTTCACCAATGCTGTACACATCTAAAACTGACAGAGGAAGTACGAGTGTCTGTTTTTACACATGTCTACACTGCCATCTGGTGGCACATTGCAGGAAAACCTACCTGAAGATACTGTCACATTAGGTAGGGATGGACATTAACTTGAATTGCTTTTTATTGTGATTTGAGATGATTAAATACAACAGTTTGGAACAGCTGCTCCAGTGTTAGCAATACATCATACTATCGATGCCTTATAAGCAGCACTGTCCTGTTTGTGGCTCTGCCTAAGGCCCTTCATTCTGTTGGCCATGAGCTGTCTTTAGGCAGACTCAATTTTGACAGGGCTGCGGGGTAGTTTAGTACAAACAACACTACTGCTCGAACCAGTGTGTTTATGTAGAGCATCATACACCAATCAGCCATATAACATTATGTCCACCTTGGCACCCTGGTGGTCATAAAGTCATGCAGCCCCATATGCAACAAACTGCGATGCACTGTGTGTTCTGGCACCTTTGTTTTAGAACCAGCATTAACTTTTTCAGCAAATTGCCAGCCTTTGTGCAACAGTGAGCCTCGGCCACCCATGAATCTGTCTCCAGTTCACCACTTTTCCTTCCTTGAACCACTTTTGATAGGTGCTGGCCACTGCAGACGGGGAACACCCAACAAAAGCTGCAGTTTGGTCACAATTTGGCCCTTGTCAAAGTCGCTCAAATCCGTACGCTTGCCCATTTTTCCTGCTTCTAATACATCACCTTTGAGGGCAAAATGTTCTCTTGCTGTTTAATATGTATATAATACAGCATTGTACAAGTTGTCATTCAACTGCATCTTTAAGGGTAGTTAAATGACAACCAGAGAGGTGGTAGAAATTGATGTAGTTTACAATATTTGCAGAGAATCCCCTCAAAAGAACTAACTAATCCAAATATTGTCAGTCACTTATTAAAGCAGTTTAAACTATTCTAGATTAATGTTAACATTGGTTTTAATGCTTGGCCTGTCCAGGAAAACCAGTTCTAGATTTAAAAAAAAAAGAAACTGAATTAGCACTGACATTTTGAAAAGGGATTAAGGGAAAAGATTGTCAGCACTTAATTGGATAAATGGATGACTGACCCTTCTTTAATAGCACACATTTAGAATCTGTTGTCGGCCTGCCTTATAGATGTGGCAATTTTGCATGGTTGTTCAGTCTGTTCATCTGTTGAGGGTCATCCTTTGTTCTCTAATCACTACAAAAAGCATCTATCAGCATATAAAAAAGGTAGGCTAAATATCAAGACCCAGAAAGAGAAATCCAAGTCAGCACAAGATATCAGCACTGTCAAGTTCAAGCTGCCTCAGGCAATCTGTTTGATCGCTTTCCCTCACCATTTTCCTGTCAAATTACTAGATAGCCTTGTTTATATATTCCGAAGCAATATTTTAGTGACTACCAACAGTACTGTTACCTCTATATCTTCCAGAGCAGGACAGGGAGAAATTAAAAGCATCCTGTGGAACATTTCACTTCCGATGGAACGTTTTTATTCTAGCATGTGTGCAGGCATGCACATGCACACCATGAGAAGAGGTGTTGACATTATTTAACAACTATAATCTCTCGCTCTGCAGTGCTTTGATACAGGAGAAGAAAAGGCTGCAAGCCAATGTAAAGGAAATGTGAGGATTTGCAAATATTTTATGAGGTTGAGGAAATCCATTCAACATGTTTGTAAGGCCTTCAGGATACATTTGATGTGTTTTGGTGAAAAAAGTTTCCATACTTTTCCCCTCCCAGGAATGGAGTGAGCAGGGTTGCTGTCCGTGGTGCTGAACCTCTTTTTCACTTGGGTCCTTTTTTTCCTGCCTGCACGGCCGAGCTTCCACAGCAGACAGCATTTTTTTTGGGAAAGGAGTGACACAGATAGATAGAGACAGACAGAGAGACTGCTTGTATTTCCATCATTCCTTTTGTCTTATTATCAAATGACTTCTATCATGTGACATCTATTCTCGGGGCATTGTCAGCCTCAGTTATCACCAAGTAACAAGAGCTAGCCCACCACTTCCTCATTTGCATACAAATGAAAACCTCAAATGACCAAAGTGTGTCTCAAGGTCAAGAACATAACAATATGTTGCAGTGCTCATTGTGCCACTGTGCCGCCATGAAAATTGGGCCATTTGGTTCAGTCACATTATCACTGGTGCAACTCAAATCACTTCCTTTCTTGCAGTGAATATTGGTGTAAAAGGAGCTGCATCTTTAATGTGGTCAGGAAAATGACCCTTCTTTTCTCTCAGAACAGCGGAGTCTGAACAAGATAGTGTAGTTACAGTATATTGGCTCATTGTGCTACAATACTTTCTAATGGCCTCAAAAGAGGAGACAGACTGATGATGACTGCCTAATCAAAACACAGTGTGAGCAAAATATTGACATGGCTTAAAAGCCTCAGATAGTTATATTTCCTACAGAGAAGAATATTCACTTTATAGGGGAGTCACGCTCGGATTACTTCTTGAAACCTGACTAACATGAAAATGTTAATCTTCCAGTGAGATGTCCCATCAATTGATCTCTAATGGCAGCAAATGTTAAGGAGAAGGATGTGGACCATTAACCACAGATTGCACATTTCATTTCACATGCCTCTTTTTTTAGTGATCCCTGCTGTGATTTTAGTGTCCATTCCAACTGGCTGATTGTGGGAGAGGTTGAGATGTTAGGGAGTTTAAAAAACGACTAAATGTCTATTGACTGCTATTCACACAATTGGGAATATAATCTAAAATTCAGTAGACATTAAAGTCATTTTACATACTTACTCTGTAGTACTTTAGGTTGAATACCATAATCTAAATGAGGTGTGATCCATGATTAATGGCACAGAGCAACACATCGGCAGTGTAGCATAGCCCACATCTGTCATCTTGTCCTTATGGTAATTATAAGGAATGTTTACACAGGAAGTGCAACTTGACAATACTGATAAAACTGATGTGTCTGGTCTGTTTTCTGTGCTCACTGAAAAATAAACTGTATATGGCTGTTTTTTGATTAATATCACCCACAACATCATAACCACAGAATCACATATATTCAATTATTGACCTGCCAGTGATCTACAGTTGTTTTTGTTGATTAAAAACTTTAAATGCCACAGCAACAATCTCATTTTGAACCATCAAACCACCCCTTATCTTTGGGGAAATTGATCTATATCTTTGATCTAGATATTTTCATTATACACAGGGGCCTAGTCACAAGTCAGGATACAAGATAAGGATGAGGAGGAATGTGTGGAGGAAATGAAGATGATGCATTGTAAAAAGCTGAATTGCATCCTGGTAGTATAGTGAAAGTACAGTGATATAAAAAGACAAAGGGGAAGTGAGACATGCAGTTCCAGGCCTGAGAATCTGTTTTCTCATTGTGTGGACCATTGCACAGCCACACTGTGTTACTTTTACTAGCTCATTTTGGTGGATTTAACTGACCCCATCTACTGCTTTAGCAACTCATGTCTTCATCAACAGTACATTAGCCATGGGCTACAAAGCTACGGGTATATTCTTGCAGCTTGTTTTATCTGCAGTTACTGATGTTTACTTTGTATTGAGTGCTACCAATGATTACATGAATTGAGCTACATGAATTAACCCCCAGCTAGTATATTAGACATAGCCAGCTATTAAAACCTTATAAGAGCTGATGAATTCTGAAAATTCAATCGGAAAGTACACCAAGCAGAGATGTTCTCAGAATATGGGCAGGCTACCATAATGTTTCAGAGGGACAGATGAAAGAAACCCTGTAGAGCTGAAAGTCAAGCAAAATTTGTTGTAAAAAAAAAAAAAAAAAAAGCCAAACATTCTCTGGTTTCATGTTCTCAAATGAAAAGAGTCACTGCTTTTCATTGTCACAATCCACTGTAAAACTTACACTTAGATTTTGGTTTGAATTGACAAAACAAGATAAGACAGCCTTGGGCTCTGGAATAATAAAAGAAATACTGGTTTAAGCTGGTTCTTTATTTAAATCAAAATAATAACTATACTCCACTGACTGAACAGCAGAAAACTCAAGGCTAAACAGAACAGAATGTTTACTGACAGAAGACAAATGTCCAGACACGTTGATGGATTAATTGCCTCTCGAGGAGCTGTGTTTCTTTTTGGGATCAGAAGAACAACCCTTGAAAGAAACCCACCAAACTGTGACAAACAATAGAACAAGGATCAGAGGCACGGTGATAGTACAGCATGACAACAACAATCCTATTTCACAGATACATCATAATAGTATAAAGTGAAGGCAGAGCTTACAGATTTGCTCCGTATCCCTCCAAATCTAATAGAAATGTTAGGAATACTTAATAGAGGCAACTTATAGGAGTCATAATGACATTTTTGTTCCCTTTTTTGCTTTATTCAAGGTTACATGCTATACAATATGTACATACACAATACACAGACTTTTTGAGAAATGTATCCCAGATTGTATTCCCATATATATCCCAATGTAACATGTTTCAAGAGGACAAGGCAACTTCGAATCTAAAATAATCAATTATTGGCTCACAATGATTAAAAAGCTATAATATCTGTGTGCTTTTTGGAGCTACAAAGATGGCCATCCAGACATATTTGGCTGATCATTTATATCCAAAGCCTCTGACAAAGTATTTCCCCAATAAACAGGGCCATGACCAGAGTCTACTGGTTAGATGTGCTGGTCCAGTTTGGCGTTACAAGCCTACTGCTCACAATGCAGCCTTTAAATTGTAGTAGACTCAACCATGCACAGGATAAGCATCCATTAACTGCATCCTGGATTAATGAGAAAGAAAAGAGAGTTAAGAGGACAGAGGCGGATGTAGAGGAGTGGCATTGGTTGGCAGCAGCCACCCCTAAAAGATGCCTGGCCATCCCAGCTGCCACCCCAGTTTGGTGGCAAATGCTGTCAAATATAATTTAGATTAATTAAAAATATAACATGTAAAATAAAAATAAAACAATTTATTGATTTCTATGATGTGCCACAATATTGTAATGTTTTTTAGTTCAAATATCTTCATTTGGGCTTTTCCCAAGCAAATATTGATATATGCGATTGTTTGTGATTAAATCAGCATATATTTCTGCCACCCCTTACCACTCTCAGGCCACTCCATGAATATTTCTCTAGATCCGCCCCTGTGTTAAATGCAATAAATGAGTCAATTCCACTCTGCTGGTGCCTCAAGTAAAACTAGGAATCCTAAACTTTGTCTGATAGTTTGGGAATCTTTTATGGGAAACTATTTGGATTCACTTTACGTATGATGCAGAGTGAACAGCTAATCTCAAATGACTGGAGGTGTTAACTCTTAGGTCAGAAGCCATTTTGTAAAGTACAAAACTGTACTAGTGACTTTTTGAATGTCTAGCAGATAATTCAACCCCGTGAAGAACTTCTGCTGTGAATGCGTCTATTATCCCTCACAAACATTTTGGCTTTTAACACAGTTTTAAATCCATGTATAGGTAAATTTGTTTTGAATCTGCTGTTTTTCACATGCTGGCCTTGTTGAGGCTGAGTGCTGGCAGGGTCGCTAATGCATCACCATTTAGTACATTTTACCCATGTGTGGACATTTCCTACGGTACACAATTACAGTACCAAAAATACCTCTTTGCAATAATGTGCCTGACCCCCATGTAGCCCAACCTTACTAAAAGAGTTGTACTGACTTACTGTGACAGCCATGCATCCTATGAGAGACTTTCTGGAAGATTCTATAAAGTGAAAGCTGTGAATAGCTACCATAACAAACAAAACTTTTAAATTATGATTTTTAATTATACGTAGGCCTATTTACTGGAGTGAAAGTATGTGACTTCAATCTTATTTAGTAAACATGGCATGAAGTACCAATATCCATTTATATTAAGTCATAGGGGGTGAAGGCTAACTGAATTTAATGTATCTTGAATGGTATTTTAATGACTTAGTTGTCTGGAATCCAATTAAAAACACACTAAAAGAAAGTGGATAGTCTCTACAAAGGTGTTAATTAGTTGTTTGGCTGTATAACCCTCAAGTATATCTGACCTGTTTTACAAGTATAATACATATACACATACATTATGGAAAAACTTTAAACTATAAAGCAGATATCAAGTCCAACCTGAATTAAATACAATTAATTTGCATGGCAGCACAATTATGTGCAGGATTTTATTCCAATGAAAAACACTACAGCTGATATCAGTGTTAAGCATAGTGGGAGTTGTCTAATTAATCGAACATCTCTGCCATGTGGAAGATAAAACTTTCTCTTAAGAAGGCGTGGGACAATCACACTCTCCTCTTTAAAAAAAAAAAAGAAGCCTTTTTTTATGGTTATTGTACACTAAATTGTTCCCGGAAACGCGTATTTTCATTTATTAAAGCAGCATTAACAGAGCTAAATTAGACATATCACTGTGTTTTGCAATGTATTCGTGTAAAATATAGTCATTTAAAAATGTAAGCGTTGATATTTTCCGGTGGGAAATTTGCTGATGCCATATTTGAAAGGCTCCATGCTTGGCTGGACTCTGGGTTTAAGGAAGCTTGTCCGGCCGGCCCCGGCAGTCGCAGCGGAGGGGGACTCGACGGCGAGAGCTTCAGGCGGTGCGTGTGTGAGCTGGTCACGGACACCGAAATATCTCCACGACGGCTTTTCTTACCATCTTAAATCAACGCAGCAATGAACATACTCGTGTAGCGGTCGTTTTGTAACATATCCAGGTGAGTTAAACTTGTGTACTGGTGTCTTGTGGGTTGTAGTTGTGTGAAAATAGCCGAGGCTAGGAGGGTAAGCTGTGGCTCAATACAAAGGCTTTCTTTGCCGGAGAAAATGCCGGGGCTGCAGCAGCCGGGAGGCCCGCCTGTGTCTTTCAAGTCGCCTACCAGCCCCGGTTATCCCTCCAATGTTTCACCCCATCCCGTCCATCTTCCAAAAAATGCGACCATATTGTTTTACATAGAAGCTTTACCGGGTATTACTTACGTTTAGCGGCGTTACTGACCGATTACCGTGGCTTTTGACAACCGTGGCCGGTACCAAGAAACATGGTTGCTCTGCGGAGTCTCCTAACGCTGCACGCCGGGCATCGGTGCAGTCCTTGCCGCTAGAGGCTTACGGGGACAGTCGGGGTTGCTCCGTTGCAACCAGGAAAGCGTATGGGAGGGAAAATACAGGCAACAACACATTTTGGTTATGTAACACAGAAAATGCTACTCCCTAATGTTGGCATGACTGGTGAAACTTTCTTTGTACACATGATATGTCAAACTAAGTTGGCATACGACTACGTTATGCTACGTTTTTAGCTCGGTTTATGCGCTTCACGGGATTTTTTTCAGCGGGGCGTATTTGGTGACCTATCGCGATTTCCTGTTGTTTATTTGCACTTTGATATCGGGTTCAGCGGGTTATAACCACTGAGCAGAATTGGTTAAGAGTTTGGCATATTGTCTGTTGGTGTCAGGCTGTAGTCGGGTTGCTCATTCCCCCTGCAGGCTGCACACTGAGCTGGAGGATTTGCTCCTGCATAGCGACTCCTCAGCTGGGTTCATGTCTGGAAACAAGCGGACAGAGTTCAGCTCTGGACATTAGGTTACTCACAGGACAGCCTGGTAGTAGTGCATGCCAGGGTTCAGATGCCTGATTGCCATCCAGTATCTACGGAGTCTGAGACCAGGAATAGCATTAACATGAGCTACTCGTGCAAGAATTGTGTTTGCATATTGTAACAACACAAACAAGCTGTAATCTGATATCAGAAACAAGAGAACTCTGTGTTTTTTAAAAGGCAAACCTTAAAACCAAGCCACCTATCGGTTCCAAACCCAGATGTATTAACCCCAGTGGTGGAAAGTATTACATTTAGTACCAGAAGTACAGTTCAAGTTAATTGTACTTAAAGTATTTCCAGTTTAAATATATAAAAAAAAAAGCTATGATATAAAATATGGTGCATTGCATATAAAATTAGCTCCACCCTCACCATATTCAACTTATTGATGTACCAGTAATAATAATCCAATAATATAATATATAATGATATGACAAGTATAAGGTGTACTTTTAGTATTGATAATTTCAGTACATTTTACTGATAATACATATGTACTTTTACTTTAGTAAAAAATACAGGACTTACTTTCTTACTACTATATATTGCATCTCTACTTGCATAAAAGCATAAAAAATCGTAATACTTTTTCCAAGAGTAACTGAACTCCAGCAGCCCAGCCTTCGATATTGCATTACAAAGTGGGATGTGTGCACCGTCAAAGCTGGCCATCAGGGAGAACTTGAACGACATCCAGTGCTGCATTAAAACTTAATGGCACAAAGAGTGTTTACGGCGACAAGGACCAATTGGTTGAACATGATAATTTAACACCATTAATTTGAGGTAATTGATACCATAATTAGAGGGCACATTCGTATTAAAGCACAGCTGCCAGCATGCCACTGACACTCAGGCTGCTGTGTAATAGATGGATGGACTAGCCACAGCATCCTGTAACTTCAGTTCCTATTCTTAAACTGCGATAGTATGGAATCTAAATTAAGTGATTCAAAATTAATCCTAAATGTTTCCCATGATACCTTGCATGGCCCATGCATATGATTGCAGATTGCAGTATTTTTTTAAAACCTGTTTCAGCCATTGCCATAATCAGCTCATTAAAGAAGACAACAACAGGCCTTAGAGTATGCAAAGTCATCACATGTCAGGATAGAGTGGAATATTGTTTTATTTTTTTAGTATTTATGCTGGAATAAAATAGATTTATTCAGGGAAGCCCCAAGGCTGGATTACCAACTGGATAAACTGGACAACTGCCAAAGGGCCCCAGGCCCTTGGGGGCCCTGAAAGTCCAATGTTCACGGTGTGGCAATTACTTTGCTGTAATTTGATTAATGGCAAATTTGTTCTGTAATGTGCACCATAAATAGTAAGGCGGCTCTTGCCCTTTTACCTAATCTAAAGCCTTGTCTTGTTTGAAAACAGATGAAGGAGGAGGTTGAAAAGATTTCCCTTGCGTTGTCAAAATCAACTTTTGGAATATTATAATCAGTGTGTGAACCATATTATGGCTTTCAAAGGAACCCACTTGGGACAGGGGGGGGGGGGGGATGGGCTTGACTGATTGGATCACAGTATGCTGACTACAAAACACAGCAATGAATAATGACAGTTTGGCGTGCAGACTGAGTGGTACTGAGAAAGTTGTTTTTTCCTGATCTGAGTTAATGTGAGTGAAGTTTATAATATTGTGCTGCTACACTTCAATTGTGATTGCAAGAGTACCTTTTGGCATGCTCCTAAGGTTTGGCTCTAGCTGAAAGACCTAAGGTTATTTGTCATAATTTATCAGAGCTATTTGGAGTCCATTCTTCCCCTCAGTGTGACCCAATGGACCTGAATACTTCCTTCTGTGGTTTCACAGTAAAAGCCTTCCAATTAACTACATCCTTTCACTTCCCAGAAGTGTTGTCTTGTGCAGTTTTGGAGTACATCTTTAATGCACTTGACTTACAATGATTAACATATGAATTATATGGGATATTTTGGAAAATATGACCAAAACAGGGCTAGGAGACTTACAGAAGCTGCAGGCATTGGACATTCTGTGAACATAGTCATCTGAATTCTCCCAGAAATTCACAAATTTCGCCCATAAATAAGCAATAACTCCTGCACCCCTAAGGCTCAAAGAAATTCTTTAATTTTACATGATAACATACAGCCCACAGTAAGTACTGCAGAGAGGTCACATGGAGTTCCTCCACACGATGGTAGCAGAGCACTGACAATATCTTTTCCGTAGCATATTCAGGATGTTTGCAAGGATATGTATTCTGACTGGAGACTTTTGTCAGCATTGAGCTGATAGACTGTAGGGTAAGTGAAGGAGAGCAGATAGTCATAGATTTAGTGGAAGTTTACCATAATAATTTGATGTGCATTGACAAGTAATATAGTCTTTTTGATTCCAGTGGTTAAAATAAATCAAAGGCAACTGACAAAATGTTCAGTCTGCTAGTATGGATGTATATTTGATATATTGTTATTTATTACAAAGCATCATGTTTTCCTTTTTGTCAGGGTAAGAGTTCAACAACAGGGTCAGGTAAAAAAAATTAAAATTTTTTTTTTTTTAAATCATGTATTATCAGGTTTTTACCAAACTCTCAAAAATCCTTTATTGATTGGGCTATAATTTGAAGACATCATCTTGTGTTCTAGGGAACTGTAATGGAAAATTTCTGACATTTTACAGTACAAACAATTAATCAGTCATTGTAAAAAATAATCAATTACGTAAGTCATTTTTAATTGCAGCATTTATGTTGTCTAAATGTGTTTTGGTAGCTGCAACCGGAAACTCCCTTGAAATATCCATCAAATCTCCCTGAACTCAATTATCAGTTCAACAGGTCTGTACACTTGGACATGTTTAGACAAATTGTTTTGGACAGATCCGCTTGCAATATTTCAATGACATAATGGACTTCGTTCACAGCTCTTACAAAAGGATTAGACATGTGGAAACTGAATGTATAATAATGCATGTCATCAGGATGCTTTGATAGATGAATCCCATAAACATATACATCTGTACATAGAGGCTTTAGTTATCAGTGTTGTCTGACTTGTCTGTCTGTTTCTCCATTTCTGTTTTTTTCTCAGATTGAACAATGTGATTGTGATCGGAGGCAGCTGCACTCCAATGGTCGAGGACCTCACCTCACTTCACTAGAATGTACTTGATGAATGTACCTCCTGTCGCAGCGACGCAAACAGAATGGAGAACATGTGGCCCACCTGGAGGCTATAGCCTTCCAATCTGCTTCAATGACTCTGACACAGAGTTGTCCACCAGAGGCACACCTATCTCAGACAAGGTCCAGATGATCATTGAGAGTCTTAGGAGCACCCAGTCCTCACTCGAGATGGGCGACGAGATGGAGGGAAATGTGCTGTCAGGACAGGAAGGTCATCCCCAAGTCTGCAAGGTTGCAGTGGGTTCTTATGTGGGAGCAAAGTCTAAAACTAAAGGTCCCACTGAAAACCAACAGGCAGATGTTTCCTCCCCAATCAACCACAAGAGCAGTGACTCTGACAGTGATGATTCAGTGGACAGAGGAATTGAGGAGGCAATACTTGAATACCTGAAGGAAAAGGATGATCACAAACGCAAGGCGGAACCGTGCTTCACCTTTCTCCCTTCATCCAAAATTCCCAGGAAGACCCCACCTATTTCTGAGGTCTCCAAACAGAACTCTGACAGCAATACATTTCTGATTGCCAGTAACCAGTTTCCAAAAAGTGTCAAAGCTGAGACTCCCACAGCAGCAGCTGTTGTACCTATAAAAAAGTATATCAAAAACAAGGTGTTGCTAAATGACAACACAGTTAAGAAATTGGATAAAGGTACAACAACAAAGAATTTATTCTTGCCCAAAGAGCAGACAAAGAGCCCCTCTAAAACAATCAGCCTCTTCAACAAAGTAAAGTGTCCCGTCACTGTTAAGGTGGAGCAAGACTCAAATGATTCCAGTAGTGATGATGGCATCGAGGAGGCTATTCAAAGATACCAGTTAGAGAAAAAGGAGCAGGAGAACAAAAGTGAGGCTTTCATCCCACATGCATGCAAAGAGGAGTCTGACTCCACTAGCGATGATGGGATTGAAGAAGCTATTCGCAGCTACCAGCTTGAACAACTTAAGGAGAAGAGTGTCCTGAAACCATTCTTGCACAAGCAAAAACCCTTTTGTAAGCCATTAATACATGCTGTTGGAAGTACAAGCAAGGAAAACATGAAGAAACACAAACTTAGAAAGAAAAAGACCCGAACAGAGAAAGAAGTGAAGTCTTTTCAACCTCCTCCTTCATCTGTTTTCATACCTAAGAATACCCTTCCCGAGAGCTCGAAGGGAAAGGGAAATGGGTTGCTTTTGTTTAAAGTAGAGAGTTTTAAGGAGCAACCTACCCTTACCCCTACCTCTGCCCCTGCCCCTCCAAAGGTTAATACAACCGCAGAGCTCATGTGTGCAGAGGCAATACTGGACATTTCAAAAACTGTTATGCCTGGGGTCTTCCATGATAGTGTTGGCCTTAGCAGTTGTGCCCCCACTGAATCTTCCTTGCAATCTTCGTTTCCTGACATCTGCCCAGATGAAGAAAGTGATGGCAGCTCCATTGATAGTGAAGATGGGATAGAGCTAGAGATCAGGAAATTTCTTGAGCAAAAGGCCCAAATGCACAAACAGCCACCCAGCTCTGCTTCGACTCAAGAGCCTGCTAGTGTAAATGAACCAGAGGAAGTGAAAGCAACACAAGTTGCAAGCCAAAAGAAACCTCCAAGATTGTCTTTGACACAGAGAAGAAAACACAAAGAAGAAACCTGTAGCATTTCCAACATGTCGGGCACAGATAACAATGTTAAAGAAGCAGCCCCTAAACCTTTACCTGAGCATGGAAAAGAATCAAGCCCATTGGCGTTTTCCCAGAGAAGTCAGGCGCTCCCAATAGCTGGATTACACGAGACAGAGCCAAGTGGAGACAAAAGCAGCTCGCTCGACAGTGATGCGGACCTAGACACTGCAATAAAAGACCTGCTCAAGACAAAAAAAAAGTCAAAGAAAAAAAACAGAGACCTAAACCGGAAATCTAGGAAGTGCCTCAAGGATGAAGAACCAATGCTGGGAAATGCTTTACCGACCAAAAGGTCCAAACCTGATCCAATTTCCAAGCGCAGTGCTTTGAAGAAATTATATAAGAGCAAGGATGACATGAAAGAGAAGTCTGGGTCGGGTAAAATGAGCATTTCACAACATAAACAAAATAATGAGAGTGAAGAGCATGATATGCATGAAGGTGAAACAGAGAAATTGAAAGCAACTCAAGGGCAAAACACGCCGTCACTGCACAATACTCAGACTGCTCTTCAGATAAAGGAAGATAGCAGTTCAGTAGACAGCGATGATAGCATTGAGCAAGAGATCAGAAGGTTTCTGGCTGAAAAGGCCAAAGTTTCCACTGCAGAGAAAAGTAACGGCACTGACACAGTTTGTACCCTACTTCAAGCTGAAGACATTAAACAGGAAAATCAGCTGGCTGAAATTCCAAGAAAAAGTATCAGCCCTCTCTCTGGACAATCTCCACTGAGCAGTAAGCCTCTTCCAACGCCACAGAGTTCTCTGCCAGACATCTCTATCGGGACACAGACATACCTGTCCTCAGTCCAGTCCCGCAGCCCCAGTCTTTTGGAACCAGCAGACGGGGCAGGGGCTGCGAGAACAGAGCAAAGGAGGCCTGGCACTGGGAGAGGCAACATCCAGGATGTTACCCCACAGGTGGAGAGAGTTCGGACAGTTTTGAGTCCTAACCTTGCTCATTCCCGCTTGGAGTCAATCAAGTGGCGCCAGAGCCTTGGACTCCCCACTACTGACACTAGGACTCCGAGTCGAACTCCATTCCATATCACCTCGTCTAAAACCAGCGAGATTGCATCAGCAGCTCCGCCATTTCAAAGCGGGGTCATCACCCCCAAATCACAGACTCCAGTCACTGTTTGGTCCTCTGCAAGGACCAGCAGAGCACCATTCCCCTGCTCTGTAGAGACAACTGTAAATACCACATTTAGATCCCCTGTTTTAAACCTTTTATCTACTGCCAGGCAGCATCCAAGGATGTCCTTTACACAGAGCCTCCCACCTGGCCACAGATCACAGTGCCCTATAGACGGAGAGACAGAGAGTATGGTGCATATGCGTAAGGACAAGAGCGTGTTTGTCGAACTTGAATCTAATAGGACCAACCATGTCCAGGTGCGAAGCAGGGAAAGGAGCGAGGAAAAGGAGAGAGTCGACTTGCTAAGTGAGATAAAAAGAGAAGGCGAGAGCATGAAGATAGATGATAAAGAAGTACATCTAGAAAGAACAGAGGAAGAATTTATAGATGAGGCAGATTGTGAGTCAGACAACAGGAGAAATCCAGAGAAGAAGCAGGGCTTTTCCACATTGTAAGTATTTTCTTTGGTCAATATGTCCCATAGCATCATATTCCAATTTTATGTAAGTTCATTTCTTGATTGTGCCCTGTTAACAAATATAATGTAGGTTATGATCAAGCTCATTCATTTATAGGCTCTAAGGGAATGTTTGTTAATATGATTAAACAAAACAGGCATTTTTTTTAATGCGTTTGTATATTTATACGGCTATGTAACACAATGGCACCATCATGAAAACTTTTTTTTTGTGCTCTGAGGTTAAATCATATCATCGAACCTTTAAAAAGCAATACAGTGACATATTGGTACAAGAGGCAGACTGCATGAGTAGAATACTTTAGTGCAGAAAATGACATCGTCCTAAATATCTTTCACGTTTTATGTAAAAAGAAGTGACCAAGAAAAGTAACCAGTCATTATGACAAAATAAGGGTTTATGGTTACGTCCAAATGCTTAAAATTTGGTTGTATCTTTTTAAATGTACCAGTGGGACAATGTTAATTAGCAATGCTAATCAAAACATACATATGTGCAAAAGTTAAAAAGTCATTATTTTGTAGGTTATTGTAATATGTTTCTGTCACAGCCTTCATTAGGGGTATCTCAATTAAAGTCAAAAGATAAAACGTATATAATTAGATCCATTTACGCTCAGGTGTGCAATAAATATAATAAATTAAACATTTTTACACAGCTTGGTACGTTTACTAGACTCTAGATTACTAGAATAAAGGCCGTGCATGCAAAAACATTTATGACCTGGTTTATTAGACCTGAAATTATTGATTAGTCTAGAGAAAATCAACATTTGAAGACGTTACCTTGGGCTTTGAGAAGTTCTGATGGCCATTTTCTACTCCTCCTATAGAGTAAAAGATTAATCAGCTGATCAAGGAAATACTTGGATGATTCATGAATAATGAAAATAAGCATTATAGCAGTCCTCAACAATCTCATGCAGAGCGGGGTAACATGGCAATTTTATTATAATAAAATCTTCTATAACATGGGATTACATTTATCAAAAACCATCCTAAAAGTGCTTATTTTTTAATAAACAAGAGATCAAATCTAGCATAATACAGTTAACCACGACTTTACCTGACCAAATTCAAACATGTCAACCATTTACTGAATTGTTCGCGGTTTCGCCCTGGCTGCTCCCTCCCCATATAGTTCCATCCCACTCAAGTGTAGCCAAAAAGAATCACTCTGTAGAGACCTTTTTCACAGCAGCCATTTTGACATGAAAATCTACCAATGATACTAATGAAGGTTCCATTCCATTGTAGTGTAGCGGAGCCTTTCCAGTGAGCCAGCATGCACAGTAGCAGCCCCCTGACTCTGCTCGACCTAAATGGAATGGAACCTTAATTACTATCACTGATAAACACCTGTGTTTACCCGACTATTTCATGTCAAAATGGATGCTGTGAAAAAGGGTCTATTCTAAGCTCCACCTTCAAAACATGCCACTTTACTTCCTCCCTCACTCTAGCTCACCTCTTTATGTCATTACCTCACGATGCTGAAGTTCTAAATCTGGCCGCTTCTATTGAAATAATATGTTATAATTACCTTCTCACCCACAGATTGAGCCTTTATAACTTTTGCACATGAAAAGAAAATGCCGGGGTACACTTTTGAAACGGATAACCCAAATTTAGAACACCAGTGGGTACTGAAATCATTTTTGTTTGTTTTCCCAACTACATGGAGATATTACGCTTCATCTTGCCAGCACCATTGGTTTTTCAGACACAGTGCCCTTAGTTTATTATATGGTTTGAATTTATAGATGGGAATTTAAATCTCATCTGTCGATGAAAGCCACTGTAAAAGTCTTGGACTTATTACCTCTACGACTCAAGTGTTGTTCCAGATTCCACAGAAGCCACATAGTTACTCCTCTCTGTCTTGCTATACTTGATATTTAGTGTGTTCATTTCTTTGTCACGTTAAAGTTTTCTTGAATTTCATATGTGAAAAAAGGCTATTTATTTTTGTTTATTCAAAAAAAAGTAACTGAACATGCTGTGCATTGCCAGGTTTTGTAAATATTTTGTAAGAAGTGTTTCTTTTTTCTTTTACTCTTTCTGAAAAAAAACTTTTGCTGTGTCTTTTAAGTGCATCTGTGTAATAAAGAGTGGAATCCGAGGAACAATGGGTCTCTCTCATTAATAATGTATAATAATTTGCATCATAGTTAAACGCCTCATGGACGATAAATACCGGTTTAATTTACAGGCTTGAAGATGGACTTTGGGATCAATTATTAGGTGATTAAGTAATTACTGGGAATTGGTCTGATGTGTATCCTGCTCTGCCTTGCCCAGGTCTTTGTCCAGTGCCATTGACCCTGGCATCACCTTCAGACCTTGCATAGCTCTTACAACAGAGGAGAGAAGCAGGATGTTCAACAGGAGGTACCTGGCTAAAAAATGCAAGAAGGTACAATTATGTAGAATCATGACCGCAAGTAAATTTTGCTTCAGTATTTGTATCCCTATAAGATGAAACCAGATATTCAGTAACATATTAGCCAAGTTCACTAGCCTGGAAAGGAAAGCTGAGCATATAGTTTTACTTTGGCTTTTTGTAAAAAAGTTCCAGATCCAGAGAGTGTGAAATATGTATTATACGATGCTTGCAGGGGGTACGTTCGCTCAGTAGTGGTCCTGCGCAGAACAAGGCCGTGCAACGTGTCAAAAGAAAGCTTCAGTTCATTCCAGTCGACAGGTATGTGATCGGACTCAAATGGTCTCCACAGTGAGTGATCAGAGTTAAATGAAAACCAACTCATCACAGATGATTTCCCTCTTTTTCAGGAGAAAGGAAGCCCCCAGTGACCAGAGCATAACATAATCAAACTTCTGCATTTAAAAACATGCACATAGATGATGCTTGAAATTACAGTATGTGGGTTGTTGAATAATCATTTTGCACTTTAAGTGTTTGTTTATGTAAGGTTGGCTTTTCAGGTTTGATGTTGCAGGCTAGTGGCAATTTTGTATTGTGGCTTATTTGTATTAAATTGGTTTACCCTGTTTTTTGAAATATATATTAAGATTCTCCAAAATATACTACAATACATTTATCTGACTAAAAAGTAAATCCTTAACCCCAAGAACTCCTGCCACTATTCTTAACTACATTGTACTATTTAGTTTGTTTCACATTGCTACTGAATAATAGGAGTTTACTTGTGTTAGGGTTAGTTGCTGTTAAAACTCATATTGGATCAGATAGATTCAAATTAATTCTTCTATCAGTCATTTCCTAACATTGCCGTTGTTTTATGTTCTAGTATGGCTTTTTGTAGCTAAATGACATGCGGGTTGGAAACATCAGTAGTGTTGTATTTGTTCTTCAATAAAGTTGTGGAAAAAAAAAGTTTTTTTTTTTTTTATCTATGGGTAGTGTATTATCCACGACACCGCTTAGCTTTACGGCATTCCAGGAACTACAAACGCGCAGCCGCAGTTGGCTGACCTTCTGTGGCACTCAAGCAAGCATGGCCGCCAGGGCGCTGACTAAAGGTATGAACACATTAACTGTCCGACAGCGTGGCGTTATGGTGGAGATATCTTGAATGTAATGTTATGTCAGACATCTATAGATTATGTAGAACAGTTGTGGCGTCGTTTTATGTTTGTAACCCTGGACGACAAACCGTTAACGTTAGCTCGTAGCTCATAGCTAACGTTAGCTGGGTAGCTCGCCTGGGAGATGTTTTGACCGATGTTTTGCATTTAGGTCTTTTGGGGCTACGACCCTCACGGGCTGTTACAGTCGGATACTCCTGTGGTGGACATCACTATGCTACTGAAGCGTCCATTAAACCACCTCCACCCCAAACTGACCATGGTGAGCTTCACTGTAACATAGCCGGAGGTTGTGTTTGAGAGTTTTTGTTGTTTTTTTTTCTCCAGACTCTGAGCAATATCATTTATCCTTTTATACAGAACAAATACTGAGCAAACCACTCCAGAAGCCGGACTTCTTCCGTCTGTCAGAGCTCGTCTCGTTGAAAGACCTGTTCCACGCCAGAGTGCATCTGGGTCACAAAAAAGGTTGCAGGCACAGGTTGGTATTAATTCCCACAGCTCAGCAGCTGTTTGTTGTCGGTGTTGTTGCTCAGATGTCTTGAGCCAGAGGCTGATGTCACGCACATGCTGTAAATGTACCACTTGTTTGAACAACTAAAGATAAATGCTGTCATTCAGAGGAAACGCCAGATGTTAAAGCAGTTCTGTTGGTTGTGAGGGGATATGGTTAATTTCATTATGAAGTAATAGACTTTATTTGATTACTGATTAATGTTTAGGTCTCTGTTTTGTCTGACCCACAGTCCAAAACCCAAAGAGATTCAGTTTACTATCCCAAACAACCATGAAAAGCAGAAGCAAAATTGAAAAATGACGAGTTATTAAACTAGTTATTGCTAACTTACACTGACACTAACTTATCAGTCAGTTGAGTAATTGTTTAAGCTCTTGCAAAGGATGTGGAGATCTACCAGATAATACACAGTTAACATAAAGCTTACATTCATTATATATTTAATATTTGGTTCCACATGTGCAGATGTAGTCAGTTGTGTGAAGTGTACATCCCACAAACAACAGCAGACATTTGGGGTGTGACATTTAGCCTTTCATCTTGTCAGGAGTATTAAAACCTATGGCCTCATGGTTGCTTTGGCTAATATGTTTAGGGTTATTGGGCTTCATGCAAGTTGTATGGGTTAGTTTTTGTATTATTAAAGAACCTCCTCTTACTTTTGTTTTTCTTTTGAGGCTTCTTTATACAACTGCTTCAAGTCAGGTTCACCAAACCCTCGTAACTGTTAAGTTTTAGTAAATCACTCGTCTCAGCCTCACAAATGCCACCTGCTCATGGGTAGGTGTTTGTTCGGGACCCCTTGTCCTGCTGCTTGGCGTAAACCTGGGGTCTGTGCATAAATAGAGCTGTAAGTAGTCACCAGCTATGGATGTGAATGCCCTTAAAGCAGAGAGTCAGCACTTTAAACTTGGAAGATTGTTTCATTTCAGATTCAGTGCAGTGGTGCAAAGCTAGAGAAGATAATGGGTGACTGCAGCTTCATATATAAAATGATAAAATAAGAATCCTACTCAGAACTATGTGCCATCAATTTCCCATTTTAATTTTTTTGTCTGTAATTCTCTTTTTCATAGGCTTATGGTGCCTTATCTCTATGGCTGCCGTTTGGATCAAGATATAATTGATCTGGACCAGACTATGGAGCACCTTCAGCTAGCCCTGAACTTCACCGCCCATGTAGCGTATCGTGGTGGCATCATACTGTTTGTCAGCCGCCGGCGTCAGTTTGGCCACCTGGTGGAGAGCACTGCTAAGGATTGCGGGGAGTACGCCCACACACGGTACTGGCGTGGCGGCCTCCTTACCAACTCCTCCATCCAGTACGGCAAAGGAGTCCGCTTACCAGACGTCATCGTCCTCCTTTCTACTCTCAACAATGTGTTTCAGCAACACTTGGCAATCAGAGATGCAGCAAAGATGAACATACCCACTGTGGGTGTGGTCGACTCTAACTGCAACCCCAGCCTGGTGACGTACCCTGTGCCCGGGAACGATGACACTCCAGCTGCCATGGAGCTGTACTGTCGCTTATTCAAGATGGCTATCAACCGTGCCAAGGAGAAAAGGAGACAGATGGAGATACTGCAAATCCTGTCCTCATCATCCACACGAAAATCGTGACATAATATGTTCTTAAATAAGAGACATTAGAAAGGCATTTATGAAAAGTCCAGACCGTCTGCTACTCCCCTTTTATCGTCCGTCTGCATTTGGAAAAGATCTAATGCTAGTGTTTTGGACTGAGCAAAATATGCCACCGTGCTGTCTTCTGTTAAGACTCAATTTGTGTGTACATTACTCAGTCATGAATCTTGTTTCTGTGACATGGTCTTCTGGTTATAATTTAACATTGTTCTATAAAAAATCGTGTTATTGTTGTAAACATATTAGTGCTCAAAGGTTGTAGAACATCACCCAAATAATAACTACATCCTTCAACTGATATCGCAGTGTCCTATTTCCAACTCTAGATCCAGTTTGGTGTAGATGTAGCAAGAACACCGCTTAAACTCTTAAACTTAAATTACAGCAGTATGTGGGAGTATATAAACACTAGTTTGATTACTGAATGTGATTCAGCATGTCAGAAAATGTTATAAAGCCTCTTGAGACGGTTGTGAAGAAAGTATGTAAACATCTACAATGCTTTTCAATTATCCAACAAACTTATGAAAGAGGCCTATTATCTTTTCCCACAGTCCAAAGTGACGTCATCAAATTGCCATAGGTAGGTTGGCCAGATGGTATTTTAGATAAATAAGGTGTATGCTATACTCCAAAACTCATTAAAAGCCATTTCTAAGAAAATATACATTTTGATTTCCATTTAGTCATCTGTTTATCTGCTAAATATTTAATTCCAGCCACTGTTTGGTAATTTTAGAAATCACTATCAGAAAGGATGTTTATCCCGAACATGAACTTTACAATTTCAATGTCATTGCTATTATATACATAGCTAGTCGTTTAGTGTATAATAAGTGCGCCATATAAAGCATATTACTCCACAATGGGCTGTTCGCGAAGTACATTAGGTTTGGCCACTTTCAGCTTCCATACCTGTACAACTAGTTTTCCTGTATCGACCTTCTCTGGCCGCCAGGGAAACTGCTGCGAGGACAAAATGGTGAGTTGTGTGTGTGTGACTGTATCACAACTGTATACATAATACATAAGCTGTATTTTACTATGTAACGTTAGTATCATATATTACTGATAAAACGGATACAAATGTAACGCGTTTCATCATTTTAATGTTGGCATGAACCTGAAAACGCGACTTGGAAAATGACCACTTCTCACGTTAATATTAATGTTAGTGTTTATCACAGTCGAGGTTTACTCTCAGATAAAAGCCTGTAGCTGTGTGTAAGTGTTGTTTCTCGTGTAGTTTACCGGTTTGGGGCAACCTGCCTTTCACGTGGTAAGCAACAGGCTATTTTAAGTTTTGGGCTTTCTCGAGTTACATTACAGTTAAGAGCTTCACGGCTTAATATCCAAACTGGTTGACTGTACCACTTACTGGTGCTTACTGGTCGGTGGTGTGTGATAATGGGGAGTCCTGACAGTCCTGATACCATTAAAAATAAAAAGATAAATGTGAGCTGCGTTAATTCTTCTAGACAACTTTTGGGTAGGGACAAATGTCAAAACGGGGCTGGGAATAAAATGACCTGTCGCCCCCTGGTGGCAGGCGCCTGTCTTATAATCTTCTTATAACAATAAATGACACAATGCGGAGGGACAGTGTTTCATACTAAATGAGAATTGGGCTGCTATTATTGATTTTGTTCATCTAGCGATTGTTTAATGGATTAATCAATAATTTGATCAATAAAAGCTAATAGTGAAAACCAGAGCCCAGGGTGATGAACATTGTTTTGACCTACAAACAGTCCAGAACCCAAATATATCAACTCTCATAGAAGCATAAAAAAACAGGGGGAAAAAAGAGAGCTGGAACCTGTAAATACTTGCTACTGTTGTTTTAAAATCGCCATTATTATTGTTTGAATTAAAATTGTTTCGTATAATATTCTGGCAATCGCCTAATGATTTCAGCTCTGTATAAAATGTTGCAGAATTTTGCTCAAATTGAAATGGTTCCCTGCTGCCATCAATTTAATATGCAAACGTCTGGAGATGAAAACAAGAGTTGAGTTAGTAGTGAAAGTTGGCTGTGGAAAAAGCAGCCACAGTTACATCAAAAGTTAAAGGTACAAGTAAAAGGATCAATTCATTATTTATTTTAGTTAAAGCCAGTCTTGTACTAGCTCAGCCAAATCAGACTGTAATGCCCAGTGGTGGGAATAATATGCTTAAACTAATTTCTCATTTATCTACCCTTCAACTCGTTCTCATGCGATGTTAATGGACAAACAGACGATCATTTTGTATGTAAAACTTATCTTAATAGTTATGATTTTGTATTGGAATACTTGTTTTGCTCTTGCAGGCGCATGCACGGCGAGAGGATACGAGGCTTTTCCATCTCAGGCACTGATGACGGCGTTTCAGAGCATGGTAACTGGTATTGTTGAGGATTTACTCTGTAACTTGACACTTTAGGGTTAATATTGCCCCTTGAGACCCAACTCTGACTGCTATGTCTTTGTTGTGCAATAAGTGGGCAGACAGTAAGTAACTGGCTCACGATGGCTCAATTGCCACTGTGTGGTGGGCTTTGGGTATGGAACCGGGCCAGATACTTTTACTCAGTTTATAACACGACAGATGTGTTCCCATGAACTCACAGTCAGTGGTATTTCGTTTTGTTTATAGCAAAACATCAACTCTATCAGTCCCAGTAGGACGACAGTGTCCCGACAACTGTTTCAGTTAATCTTGCACATTGGTCTATTTCCCTGTCAATCAATCTGTCAATAATGAGTGAATCACACTTGCTTGTAACCACTATTTGCATGTTGTTACTGTGAAGATTAATAACAATTTTCTCCTTTTTTGTTACTTGGTTATGAGGCTGTTATTAACCCATAGTTTGTGTCAGTGACACCAACTATGTTCATTATGTGTCTGTAATGAACTAACACATCTGACACATTCAAAACTGTAAGAAAGCTCCTTTTTTATTTTTGTATTTTTTATTATTATTATTATTATTATTCTGAAAATATAATGTGCAGTACATCCATATTTGAAGTTAATAAGAGACTTTAAGAGGCGCATGAAGTAGGACAAAAATGCAGTTAATTGGCTTTAAACATTTGGCCTTCATTCTCCATTCTAACGAAGATGGACTTGATGGACCAGGGGAACCTGTGGAGCAGCAACGGAGTTGCTTGGGAAGGTGAGAATTCACTTGACTTGCAGACTATGTGTGCTTCCTTTGCTCTTGTCCAACATGCCCCTTGAGGCGTTGCAGTCCAACATCGTGTTGAGTCTGTGTCATAAGGTGGCAGAGAATAAAAGGCTTACATTATCATCTGCATTCAATACCTCCAACAGTGGGGGTTTGGAGTGATGTAGTCCAACAGATCACTTTATTGGAAAGCTGGTAAAAGATTAAACTAACATAACCAAATGTCTAAAGTCTGATTTTGTCTTCACAGTGCAGTACCACGGGCTTGGAGCAAGACATTTGAAGCCATCTGCAGATAAGTATTCCCTGAAGACATGGTGGTTCTAAAAGTATTAGGGCATGTCTCAAGACAACAGTATAAACCTTAAATAAAGTCATATTTTGTTGACCAAGCTATATATTGTATTTCATTCCACTGCACAAACACACTGGGGAAATTAGACCAATACCTCATAGCTGACATTGCCATAGCAGTGCCCAGACCGCTCATTTCAATCATCAAAAGATACATCATTAAAAATACTTCTGTTGCATAGCTCAGAGGTTTTTTTTTACACTGTTTATCACCTCAACACATATATTTATCCCTTGACTATTTTTGATATTCTGATATTCAGCTGTGCCTATAAATTAATTCTGCCATTCAAGTAAGCTGGTATATTACTTTACTGCTTGAGCTGAGGTCTAGTGGTAGATCTAATTAATTGTCCTTTATCTTTGTTTGGATAAAATCTAGGCACTGTGGTGGCAATTTGTGTAATAAAGCATACAAAGTATGATCTTGTCTTTCTGTAAGGTTTTATTCAAGTCATCCATGAATGGTCTCAACACAACCGTCACACACTCTCGTATGTGAAAGTCCGAAAGAGCCCCGATTGGAAGAAGCAGTATGGTTTTATCCCTTTTGGAGCGTCACTCTAACACAGTTACACATTCCTGAGTTCTGGGACAGTAAACAGACAGATAGTGTGGTGAGATGATCATGTCCTTGGCTTCTTAGTGAAGTCTCAACATCCCACTGTTTACTTGGACATAGAGTGTAGTTAGAAACAGGGCTAAAAGTTCTATGCATATAATAGCCTCTTTAACAGTAATGACCAGGTCAAAGGGTTGTATAGGTTCTTAAAAGTTGCCATTACAGTACCGAACCTGTACATACTGTACATCTTTGCATACTCAAAACAAAATGATTCCCTCATAAATGAATGTATTTCTAAATAGATCCCTATAATGCAAGGGGAACCCTTCCATTTCAGACTAAATTTATTTTGTTTTTATTTTACAATTATCGCCTAATGTGTGTATGATGTTTTGATTATGCTTATATGTAAGGTTTATTACAGCATTTGTTATTTTTTTGCTTTCGCTGAAGTTTTTTGGCTCAGTTAGGTCCTGCTTATTCTCTGTTTGCTATCTGTCATCATTTCATGCAACACGCTTCCATTATTGTGCTGGTTGTCTTACAGTTTTATTCTTTTAGTCCTGTTTTCTCCTAGTAACACACCCCTTTTCCAAAAATATGAACAAAACATGGCAATTGCATTGTAGTAAATGCTTTTAATAAAAAAACAGAATTAAATGTGTTTTCAGTCTGATGGTTTCTTACAAGAACTGCAAAAAGGTAAAGTGGTAAAGATAATGGATGGTGGATGGTTATTCTGTGGTAAATGTGTTAATATGTTGATTTAAAGAGTCTGCATGTGTCTCATTGAAGGACACAGAAGATTGCCTTGATTGCCAAGAAGAATTAAACCAAATGTTAACAAACAATGACTCTGATGCACAGGTGTAAATCATTTCAGTGAACTCAGTTTCACCATTCCTATGTGGACATCTTTCACGATTCTTCTTCTAGTGAAAGATAAATAGAAAAAGTAAAGTAAATTAAGTTTTTACTTTTTTTTGTTAACTTTATTGTTAACTAGTGTTTTTCATCAATATATTCAGTTTTGGCAGAACCTTTATGCTACATTTAGTCAGGATTCTATAGATTTTAACCCATTAACAAATTCAAATTGGACAATACACAGATGCTAACCTTTAATAAAATTAGAAGTCCTGATAGATAGAGATCGATAGACAGACAGATAGATAGATAGAAAGATACTTTATTTATCCCGAGGGAAATTCAAGTATCCAGTAGCATACATACATTAAACACATTCAAATAAAATTAAAAATAAAATTGACTTATAACACAGTGATATAGGGGTTATATGATAGGGTGAGTAGTAAGTTATTAGTTATTGTAAAAGTAGGCCTAAATGGGGTTTTTGAGTGACATGTTTATTCTTTCAGCAGTTATCTAATATTAACGGGGTAAATGTGGAAGGGTGTTTTCTCCTGACAGGAAGAGCAGGCGAGATTTATGTCGGCGGTATTAAAACCCTCTCACAGCTGACGCTCTTCCCCTTTAAAGCAGCGCAGTGGTGAGTCGCTGGGTAACAGAGGCTGTGCGCTCAACGGGAGATCCGCTGCTTATTCCTGTGTCACAAGTCTACTTTCATCTGATGAAATGATCAAGAGATAGCTTTTACAGTCATCGGATTTTCTGTTTGGACAAGCCGAGGAGGAGCTCTTTAATTCCGGGCTCTAGCGGACATGTTTTTTCTGGCCCATATGGAGCTGAAAATGTGAAATTGCTCAATTTCAAGGACGCGCTCTTGGTCTCTTTTCTCTCTCTCCGGCGATTGATTTTTGTTGAAAAAATTGGATTGCGAACCTTTCTGCGAAGATCCCGTGTTGTGTCAGCCCCCCCAACGTTGCCGCAATAAAAGAGAAAATGAAGGGAATGTGATGGCAAATGCTGCGTTTAATAATAATCAGACGCGCGTTTTGGTGATGTGCGACGCATGGCGTAGGTTTGCTGTAAAGGATGTGATCCGACAGGAATCCGTGGTTTCTCGCTCCGCTGCCTCCTAAACAGAGTCGCTCATGATGCCCAGGGCTTTGCGGAGACTGCTTCATTTGGTGCTGTTCTGCCCTCTGTCCAAAGGTCTGCAGGTATGCATGGGCAGCATGATGTCCGTCTCCCTTTGTTGCAATAACAGGGTCCACACGGTAAATTATGCATGTCTCATTTACTACCAGGACGATAGCTGCGTCGATGGCATCTAAGTCCAGTCCAGATGCATCACAAAATAAGTCTTAAAAAAAGGAGATAATTATGCTACATATTGGCTTGGTTTTGTCAAGTGACCAGCTGCACATTTATTCACTGCTGTGTAGGCCTCAGTGGGAAGTATTTATTTATTCAGGCACTGCATGTACTCAAGTACAATATTTCTTAATCGTATAGAGATATAATGCATTGGTGAGATTTGTCATGCATCAGATATCAGTGAGCAGCTAAACAAGACATATCTCTTCTTACATGTTTTAAGAAAACTGTTCAAGGCCCAAAGAGGTAAAATTATCCAATATTCCACCAAAAAAAAACAAAGATCAGTATATAAAAAAAGTGTGTTGCAGAACTTTTCTTTGTCCTCTTTCTAACCCACTTCCTTCCCACAACCCCACAGAACTGTACTGTAGTTTACTTTGTGACCCTTAGCAAAGAGGTTTGGCCCACATGTTGGGAACCACCTGACTACATAACTGTATATAAAGTGGTTATACTAACTAGCTCCACCACGACCAGCTGCAACAGTAAAATATTACTTATACATTGATGTATCTGTATTAACTGTGTAATAATGTAATAAAATATCAGACACAGATGCCATTTTTGCTACAGGATTACTTTTAAGTACATTTTACAGCACACACTTATGTTATTATGTGATATCTATATAGTCTTTTTACAATAATGTATTGGTTCTTTTATTTAAAGGACATGAACACATTCAGCCAGCTATCTTGTTTATATCCTGAGGTCAAGTGGCTGTTCTTTCGATCTCTGCTGTCGGTTTTTGTGATCAGTTGTCACGTCTTCTTGGCTTACTGTGTCTTCTCTTCTCCCTCCCATCCACCCCTTTTTCACCTACCCTCCTAAAGAGTCGTCTCCCAGCCATTAAGGTGAAGTATCTTCTTCTGGCATGGCTGGGCATCCTCATCGCCAGCTGGGTCATCTACATGCAGTATGCCTCTTACTCTGAACTCTGCCGCGGGCATGTCTGCCATATGGTCATTGTAAGTATGGGCTCTCTTTTTTAAAATACTTTATTTAGAGTTTTCAATTTTACAATGACAAGATTTATTGAAAGGACATACAAAACAATGAGAACAGAACAAAAACAGTTTACAAGATTACAAAAGTGTCACAATGTTGACATCTCAGAGCAATGTAAAGTAACACGGACATGTGAATCGAGTTACACCCCACTAACTCATGCATCCAGGCAAGTCAGAGTCCCTATGAATGTGAGGTAATTTGGCACTGTGACAAGAAAGGTCCCCATATTCTCTCAAATCTATTTTGTGTATTATTCAGAAGAATAGGTTTCTTAGCAACCAGAATTCCTAAGTGCAGGGCTATCTGCATGTGGTATGTCAGCTCAGAAGTCTCCTAAGTATCTAAAGATGGCCAGATTGTAGTCCAAAAGTTGTATAATGTAGAGCGAAACCAGAAAAAATTTGCAAAAATCAGTAGAGCATTTGTCACATTTAGAAGACAGTGATGGGTTTCAGTTTTGTACTGGATTAACATGTCGCGTAAATTAATAGAACAACAAGGAACCCAGGACATTGCCCTTTTCCTAGAACTCTGTTGATATCTCTGAATTCAAGTCACTGGCTCAGGCTTCCCTAACAGGATCTGAAGAAATCAAAGTAGTAAAGCAACTGTAGGGAGCTTTTCAAGAAAAGGATGAGCATTGTAATACCTTTCCTTAACAAAGTGTCTTACCTGAAAATAACAAAGGGAAAAAAAGTGAATTTTGAAGATCGAACTTAGTACTTAATAGAATAAATGAAGGAAATGTTCCCCCCCCATCTCCAGAATGCAAAAACTCCATCTAACTATCCAGGCTTGAATAAGTATAAGTCTCTTAATACTATGAAATGCATTCATAACTCTGTCAGTGTGGTGGTGATCATGACGCTACAGAAAGCCCAGGAGTCAGAAATGTAGGTCACTGTATCATTATGTATTTACATTCTAAAGTACAACAATCTCTGACAGTGGCCATGCCTCAGGTTTAAGTTTACATAGGAAAATAGGCATGATTCAGGCAGTACGTATATGTAAAACCTTATTGCGTAGATGGGAGAAAAGTTACAAGAGCACAAATCCAAATATATACATAATTTGTTTTGGACCAAGAAAAAGAAGATGCAGTGCCATATGTTGTAATGCAATGCTGTGTGTATTTGTCACAGAACTGATGTGATACTGATACAATACGTTCTAAGGCTGAAACAGAACAACTTAGACACCTAAATAATATGCAAGATTTCAAAAGAAAGGGAAATATGGCAGGACAACTGGACACAAGGACTATCTTGGGGGCCTTTTCCTTCATGCATGGCCTTTGACATTGGGTAAAGATACAGCCTTTAACTTAACTAACCTCCTGTTGTGCCCAGCTGTGCCCAGCACTTTCAGCTGTTGAAAACAGAACAGGCACTGGGACACAATGGTGATTAAGGGGATAACTACTCAGAGAAATTGATGCACAATGAAAGATCAATGATGTAACCTCATTATAACAAATAATCAGATCTGCACAACAGTGTGCTTGCATGCACATTGATGTAGGCTACAGTATCTGTGTGCCTCAGTGTTATACAATGTAATAGATAAAAGTTCAATATGGTTACAGGGAGACATTTCATGCCAATGAAATTAGTGCGGATGATGCAGGATTTTGCTGGGTACACAAAGGTTTCTGATTTGCCTGTTGTTGCTTTGTATTTTGCTTCAAGATCTAGAAATCTTTAGAAATCTGTCAGTAAACTGCTGTTTTGACGTTATCAGCACATGTGCCTGCTCAATGATTAGTTGTGCATAGTGCAAGGGCATGACCTGTGCTCATTTTGTGACTTTATGTGACAGAGACGCATGCACATGGGATGCAAGTCAGTAGGTTACTGCATACTGCTGCAATGTTTATACAGTGCAAACCACAATGAATGACCTACATCAGTAAGAACAGTGGTATCATGGGAATGCAGTGGTAAAAGTCATGAAAAATTGAAATTTTTGATACCAACATTTAACTTATAACTTTAAACAATAACTTGTTCAATTGTGAGATTTAGAGGTGATGGTAGGCAGATTGTGTTACCCTTTTGGACAGAGCCAGAGCTTGTTGTTGTTGTCTTGTTTGTCTAACTGGTGTTTTGGACCATATTTTGTTTATTTATAATCAATATTTTCTAATATACTAATATAAGCTTGTGTGGAGTACCAGCAGTAATAATTACCCGTTCTGTATTTCCTAAAAGCAATAGGGGAAATATATGTAGAATGTCTGACTTGCTCTCTGACTTAAATGTTAATGTAGTGCATTTCCTGTTTCCTTTTGCAGTGCGATCACTATAGAAGGGGCATAATATCAGGCTCATCTTGCAAGGCATTGTGTGATCAGAAGACTCTAACACTGCAGCGCTGCATGTCCACCTCCTCCACACATCAGGTAAAATGAATACACACACAACCTTTTTGGCTAAAGACCAAACGCTTACAAGGCCAAAGATTCTGATTTACTAGCATGGAACAAAAGGATTTTTACATTTAAAATATTGAATAAGGATATTGCATGCTTCATACATATTTAAATTGTGTGAAACAGATTTTCCTGCTCATTATTTTTCTATAGGAAAACAAAACTTGCTTATACCAGAAAACTACATTTTCATAAGGGTAGTTTTAAGCAGCGCTCATTTGTGTAACAGCTAATGGTAAATCAGTGTGTAATATATTATACAGTTCTGAACACTTGTTCGGCTTGTATTTAATTGATGCCTGTATTTAAAAAAACACCCCTACCACTGGCCTTCATGGTACTGTATCAGACACATACAAACATTCATACATATCCTCTTATCTCTTCCTATTCTCACATTCCTATACTTGCAGGTGTACAGTGGACTGTGGAAGGAGAGACCTGTTGTGATCAAGTGTGGTGTCGAGGATCCAGTGAAGATTGATGGGGCTCCAGACTCTGTACTGCGACAAGAGATGAGCTTATTTGACAAACCCACTCGTGGAACCTCTATGGATGAATTTAAAGAGATGCTGCACAGTTTCCTCAAGGTCTTTTTTTCCTCAGTAATTACACCATAAAATATATCATATGGTACAACTACCACCTTAGAAAGCAGAAGCTACCTAATCAAAAACTACATTTTGGACCTGGATTTGAATATTCCTTGTGCAACCTTTTTTATACCACAATTACCTCATAATAACCAAATTGTGTCAACCTCCCTCTTGCAGGCTAACCTTGGAGAGCAACCATCTTTGAACTCGTTGGTGGACCGGGTCATTGCCCTGGCTGATGTCAACCAGGATGGCAAAGTGTCTCTAGCTGAGGCCAAATCTATCTGGGCTCTTCTCCAGATCAATGAGTTCCTCCTGATGGTGGCGCTGCAGGAGAAGGAGCACACGCCCAAGCTGCTAGGCTTCTGTGGAGACTTGTATGTGACAGAACATGTGGGCCATAGCTCCCTCTACAGAATAGAGGTGCCTCATTACCTGCAGGCTCTGGTCCCAGATGCCTTAAGCTCCAGCCTGAACCACTGGCTCGCACCAGCCTGGCCACGCAGGGCACGCATCACCATCGGCCTGCTGGAGTTTGTGGAAGAGGTTTTCCACGGGTCCTACGGGAGTTTCCTAATATGTGATGCCAGTCCTCGCCATGTGGGCTACAACGCAAAGTATGACTGCAAGATGGCCAATCTGCGCAGTGTGGCATCTGAGGCAGTTGTACGGGGATATTTGAGGGGGCGGCGATGTGAGACTAACGCAGACTGTACTTACGGCCGGGACTGCACGGCCACCTGTGATCGACTAGTGAAGCAGTGTAATACTGAGGTTGTACAACCCAATCTCGCAAAGGTGTGTGTGCTGTTGCAGGATTTTCTGCTTTTTGGCGCACCTTCAGACCTCCGTGGGGATCTGGAAAAGCAACTACGCACCTGTGTGACACTCAGCGGCCTTGCAAGTCAGATGGAGGTGCATCATTCGCTGGTCCTTAACAACCTGAAGACATTGCTTTGGAAGAAAATTTCTAACACTCAGTATTCTTGAAAACAGGTTGAGATGATCCAACCTGTACCTCTACATCATGAGTGAATTATTACATGAACACAAGTACAGTAGTTTTTGTTTATGAAGCTTTGCCAAATGTTTTAGAAGTTGGTGGTAACTGATGTATTTCGACTCCACATTGACTGTGAATAACAGGAAACTGTGAAATAGTAAATATATAATATGAAACAGTAGATGATGCAGACTCTTGTAAAATCCCATCATGTTTTTGTTTTCCGATGCATTATTTTGAGAAGCACATTCATTTGTTTAGACATAATATTCTCAGGGCAATGCCTATGACGTTATTTGTAATATGTAAGTAAATTAAATACGGTAGTTTAATAGAAAATTCTTTTGTTTGTCCCTAGTAAAGACAGAAAGTCTAATTGTGACACAGTGTAGTTTTTGTACAACTGTATATTAGTGGAACATTGTTCCTGTGTATAAATGAATCTCCATCTGAAGCAGAGATAAGATACAATTAATGGAATGAATAATGCGTACTGTATATACAGTAGCACTGAAATGTACCTCCTGGTGTTGATCTGATATTGACTATGTATTAAAATCGACCTGAAAGGACTGGAGTTGTAAAGGACAATCAGACATGATTAAACTTGAATGAACTTCTAATCTGTGAATGAGTTGGTGCAGACAATTGATTTTAAACACATTGTCATTGAAATGGTTTGCATGTAAACTGCCTGGTGTCAGAGCAGAAGAAGTCAAAAGTTGGAGAAGTCATTCAGATGTTCTCGCAGTAACTCAATCAGCTTTATGTATTTATTAAAGTAATTTGTAAAGGGATCATGTACTAGCCTGGCATCACCGAACTAATTTGCAAAACGCAAAGCACAGAAGATAATCTGTGAGTATTCTGGATACTATAGCTGTATGATAGTGATAGCTGTATTTACAGACTTGATGGGTAAAGAGGTTGCAGAAAGTGTCAGCTCTGCCCTCTCCACTAATTTGCAGACTGCAGAGCATGTGATATTTTAGTACATCACCCTCCCGGCAGACTAAATGCTATGGTTGGTAATGCGTGCAAAATGTTAAAGGCATTCACAGCCAAGATGAAAACGTTGTGCTCATCTCGACCACATAGGCAGAGGAAGGAAGAGCTGCAAGATCTGCAGTTGGCAGAAATGTATGATGGGTGTTTAGTCACCAGTCAGAACAGTGGAACTATCTATACTATACTATTCCCAAGTCACATCTGACAACAGCGTTGTAATAGGAAGAACTAAATCTGTCCAGATTAGCAAGGAGGTGTTTGACATCGTTTAACCACTTGTATCTGTTGTGTCAGACTCTGACCATGAGCCCCTGCTATCTGAAACCTTCCTGGAGATGAAAGCTGCTGCAAGTCTTTGATAGTAGGAAGCAAGATCAAAGTGCTTTGGAAAAGTCTCAATACATCGCATAGTGGCACAGCTTAAGAACAAATTCGAACAGGACTCAAAATGTTCAAAGCACGCAGTCAATGCAGTCACTCATATCCCATGTTGACTCTCATATATATGCCAACACTACAGACAGAAAAACACTAACTGTCTTACTTGTACCTGGATTGTGCTTCTTCAAGACAACCACCACCTAAGAGGTGCAATCAAGCATCCAAAGTATTCCTCTGACCTTAATGTTGCAAAGATATATACATTTATATATCTCTCTCTCTCTCTCTCTCTCTCTCTCTCTCTCTATATCTATATATATATATATATATATATATATATATATATATATATACACACACACAGGTATATTTGTAATTGTTGGTATATCAGAAAAATCAGCTGGGTTGTCAGCTCATGTCATTTTAGAATAAAAGATCATTGTTGTTGCTGATTAACCTTAAGAAGACAAGCTGTTATTATTTGTTCAAATTTGAATTAAAGGTCTATTAGTCGACAGTTCAGTTTGTGTTAAGGAAGAATGAAATATCACTGCAACAACTTTATTAAACAACTCTGGAGTATTCCAAAGCAATTCCTAGAACTGGTTCCAGTAGGACAATTGTGCATTAGGTTGATTTGCCCAAAGCTGAAGATTTTCTTTTTGGATCTCTAAGGGTGCTGTTCTTCGCTGCCTGCTGATGCTGGGACATATAAGGTTGCAAGGCGATGTTACGCAGCCTAGCAGAGTGAGGTTGAAGTTCACGGCCCTGTACATGCATACGCTTGTATCTAATGGTATGGACAGAATGTGCTAAATGAGGGCAAGTGTGTGTGGAACACTCAAGAAACAATTGTGACAAATTGGTGCTGTTTGTGCCCCCTGACACAGCTCCTTGTCTACTGCAGGCGGTGCCCTGTCTACCACAAAGCAAGTTGCTTGCTGCACCAGTTGTCCTGTTTGTCACAGGCCTTGCCCTGGTTCTCTTTGGCACTAGTTCTGGATCTACGGTTGGTCCTCCCTTGGGTCTATATGGAACCCATACCTCAAATATTGTAGGTCCTGCCAATGACTTTTGCATCCCCAGATCCGTTTTTACTGTAGCCCTTGTGCTGACCCTGACAGGCCCCAATTCCCTGTCACCTGCAGACCCTTCCTTGGGGTTATTATGGTAAGGGCAATCATTCAGATGGCAGTTATATACGCTGCTGCCACGCCTCTTGGTTGACTTTTGTCCCTGCACCTGTTTTGAAACTTGTAAAGGAGCTTTCTGTGTGATAGGTGGGAGCACTGGCCATGCAGATGGTAGAGATGGTTTTGTCTCCTTTCGACAGTGAACCCTGACTGATTTTACCCGACATGTCTTTACTCTCTCCTTACATGGTGGTGGTACTGGTCTTGGTTCACTAGAGGGAGATATCTCTTCAGCAGTTAGAGACACACTGTCCTGTGGACTAGGGATCCTGACTGAAGAAACTGTAGGAGTCCTCTGTCTCTCCTTACATTGAGGGGATACTGTGATGGACACAGAGGATGCAGTGGACACACTAGATGTAAGTATAGGAGATTCCTCTAGGACTGTTTTGAGGGTCTCTTTCCTTTTGCTCTCTTTCTGCAAGACCATATTCTCTGCAAAAGTGAACAAGGGTCAATTAAAAGAATTTCAAAAACTGGATATGACACATAATTTTCACTTCCACTGGTATGGATACCATACATTGATATCATTATTATCATCTCATCATGAAACATCTCTAAGACGCTAAGATGACCACAAACCCAGACTGAGGAAAGACGTATTCATGACCCTATTAATATAGACAGCCCACAGCAGTCTGAGGTTGCAGTCAAACTCCCAAGTTCAAACCAAATTAACAATCATTATCCAGAATATGAAACAACATGCGGCTGCTGACAATTGTTAGTTTGAATTTAAATAAGGATATATATGATAAATGTCTTGAGTGGGGGTCTGCTCTGGACAACCTTAACCATTTGTTGTTATATTTCTAAAGCAATATCCTGCGGGCTAACAGTTTACTGTATATTTAGTCTTATTCACTTCTTCTACATATTGATGCCTAAATAAAATACCCCTCTGACTTACCCCACTGCTCTTGATACCGAAAGGCAACCTCCTTGGTATCTCTCAATTCTGTGTCCCTGACACGTGTCATTTCATCCACATGTGTGGACAGAAATTGTGGGATGTCATCTGGCTCTGCTAGGAGTGTTGCTCTGGAGATGCACTCCAGCAAGCTTTTTACTCCATATGGTGTGGAATTATTAGCACTCATCTTTGATAGTAATAACTGTGCTTTCCTGAGGACACCTTGTGGAAATGTGATCTGGAAATGTCTGCAGAATGTCTGGTTTGTTCTACAAGCACAATTCCTTTCTCATGTCATATATAGAGGGAAGATTCTGTTCTATTCAGTTGATTCAATATTCCACAAACATTAACACACACACACACACACACACACACACACACACACACACACACAGGATTTGTCAGCAATTGCCTGAATATTTTATTCACGGTATTGGCAGTGGATGTATTATTGTGCACATATACAGAAAATAGAACTTATACAAGAAAACTTTAAACTTCAGGCAACCAGCAAAGTAACAGAAGCACATACTATTAATCCACAACATGGTGACAAAAATATTACAAATCATTTGCATGTGAAATCAACTTAAAATCGCCGCCAGCGAAATAGATGAAGGTTTTGTAAAAGGTAGATAAAAAATGCTTTTTTTCTTGAGAGAAGCTGGTCTGCATTATATAAGTGTGATCTCTGACCTCTCTTTGACTGGTCATGACTGATACCTGCCCCTAAATATAGCATCTGTTTCCAGCTGTTCTGCATGTGCATGCATTTTATGGTTAATAGTTTCCCTACCATTAATAGATGTCAGATTTACAGACTGTTTGAACTTCATACATTATGGTTTGCAAACTTTATGTCAATTAAATATAAATATAATATTATTTTATAATTTTTTATTGTCCATCTCGTCTGTTAAACACTTTGTAACTACTGGTTTCTAACTTAACTCTTGTATAGCTTGCTAAGGTGCCAGAATGGCTGTTGAAGACACCGGTAATTCAATTTTCTGGTGAAAATGAATAAATGTTCAAAAATACATTAAACATAGGTTTACCCAATTAATATGAATTACTTGTTTTCATCAAGTACACAGAACAGAACCAAATATATCTCTCAGTAAGGTGAATTGTGGTTATTTGGTTGAGCCCGTTATTCTTTGCTCTAATAGGGGGAAGCTGAAACATGGCATCCCCATATTGCCTTCAGGTGCTGTCGGAAATAAATGGTACTTCTAGATGGTAAATAGTAGCCTACGGATTCACAAGATTTCAGTCCTGTCATGTGCTTTTTAAACCAACAGATAAATACAGTCAATCAGTGTAGTCGACTTTATGTGTCATTTATGTGGTTATTTCAGTTTCTGTCATCCCCTGATGTAGTTTTTGTTTAATACAATAAAAGCATGCGCTTAAAAAAAAAAAAAAAATTAAATTTCTGGTTTACATTTACATCATATAAAGCCTCACCAGAGGCTGGTCTCTATTTTTAGTTAATACACCATGAATCATGGAGGTACGCCTTCCGAAAGTCGGAGGTTACGAGGAGCTCAAAAGGCAGCATCAGCTGGGTTCAAACCAGATGGAGGCTGGGCAACGGGCTGCTCTGCCTTCTGCTGTTGCTGAGCTACTGCTGCTTCATAACACCGGGACTGTACACGGAGCAGGGGAGTGGACTACACTACAACGCCGGCCACTGCTTAGAGAAAATAGATAACGGTACCCGGGAGGAAACGTCTGTCATGAGTTAAAAGAGTCGTATGTTCGCTAAATGAAGTTTGACAGGCTAACGTCAGGTTTAGCCATCTTCAAGTAGCCAATTAGCTCCAGTGTCGGCTGCAAGTGCTGCCACTAGCTGCTAGCATTGGTTATATTAGCTGTGTGTGTGTTTTCCACTCGCATGGTGACAGCTTGCGTTACTTCTCTTTAGCCTGAGCTGCCAACCGGTTTCTAACGCTAGCTAGGTCACGTTGAAGGCTGTGAGTGAGTTATATCTCTGCGGTCTGCGCACTCTCTCTGTTGTGTGAAGTAACCTGACAGACGCATGATGGCTTTTACTATTTAATTAGCCCTTTAAGCTAGCAATGCGTACTACATTGTTTCAGAATAACGTTAGCTTCCCGGCGTCGGATTATTGCACACTGTGGTACAACCGTGCCCTGCCCAGCAGCGTCTCGTATAGCATTTCGCATAATGAGTGATCATTATGTAAAAGTTAAGGTTCAACTCGAGCAGATGAAATCATTTGGCGAGGATGCAGAGAAGGAGGGTGTGGACACCGAGGGGCAGGTTTCAGTGTCCTCTCCCCCGGCTTCCGTCTCACCGGACCCTTCCAGCCTCACCATCACTGGCCGAGATGCATCCAACTCCTCCATCACTTGTAAACAAAGGGGTAAAAGTCGTAGTAAGATGGGGAAAGATGACAAGAACTCTTGTGGCAAACACATCCCGGATCTGTCACTGCACGGGTCTGTGATTTCTCCCCATGTTGGGAGGAACTTGAATAGACTGGGGCATGAGCGGACACTGCACATCAAAGGAACTGGGAAGATCCTGCAGGGCAAGTCGGAGAATAACGGGAACTATGTAACCATCCATTCATCCAAAAACATTCAAGAAGCACGCCATGAGGACGGATTCAAACTTGCGAGGAGGAGAAGACCAGTGACGGTGGATACCGCAAAAGCCAAAACCTCGTTGGAGGCACTGAAGTTAAGCATCAAGCAGCTGAAGTGGAAAGAGGTGTGCTACATGAGAGTTTTGTTGTTGTTGTTGTTGTTGTTGTTGTTGTTCTTTTTTCTGTTTGTCTTAGAGAAATGCCATTAACACATGTGCCATGCAAGTTTTAATTCACATGAAGCACTAGGGGATCTAAGCAGCAGTGCACAGCTTGCTCCAGAGAGGATCCCTGACAGCAGCTGCTTAGTGCACCAGTGTTTCATTCGGATGACAACCAGCTTAGGCATTGGCCACAAGTGTGTGTGTGTGTGTGTGTGTGTGTGTGTGTGTGTGTGTGTGTGTGTGTGTGTGTGTATAGAACCTCTGTCGTACTGTTTGTTTTAATGTCTGTAGCCTTTTGTTTAGCTAAACACAGCGACTTTAGTCATTTAAGGGGAACTTAAACCTGCATGTGCACGGCTCGCGATGGCACAATCCTTCTTATGATATCAGCATAAGCTTCATGTGTGTATATGTGGGCCACTGACTACTGTAGACATTATTGGCCTTCACTAAAGTGTTTTCTTTTTGACTGATTTATTTTTTTAGCTCTCCTCTTGATGTTGATACAGGCTGGGGGTGTGATGAACTGGATTTGGGTTAGAGAGGTCACGGCCGCCTGCAGTGTCTCTCTGCATAGAGAGAACTAGAAGTAAAGGCCAACAATAAAAATTAACTGCAGTTTTCAAGGTTATGAATCTACACAGATCTACTGTAACCTGAGATAACTTTTCCTGGTCATTTAACAGGCATTAAAAGGCAGAGAAGCCATTAAACATTACTGTAATGGACAATTAAAACAGGATTAAAATCAATCTATTAATAATTACGTCAGCTGGCCTCCACCTGGAAGATGTGTCTGAATAGGGCTTTGGACTGGATTATGTAATAGTTTGCCTTTGTGCTTCTTGTCTTTGTTATTCAAGATCAAAACGGTACATTATGAGAGGCAGTATCTCTGACAAAATGTGAATCACAAAGCTGTATTTTTAGAAATAGGAAATGAGATTTAAGTCTGCTAGTCTCATGTATTTGTTAACTTTTATGCCAAATTTGCCCTCGTGAAGACACTTTGTTTAGGCTAATGTTAACACAATAATCTAATCTATGCAAACAGGTACATAACAGCAAGAAAACACTGCATATTTAAAGCCGCAGAACCTGATGCACAGCTTCTCTAAATTTATAATGTATTACTGATCTGTCAGAAAATAGACAGGAGATTTGATAGTGATAAGGTAAGGGACTGGATTCCCAAATACATGTGGGATTGTTTCTACTTCTCTAATATGTTGATTAATCTGTCCATCCATTGAAATGGTATGGACAACTGTCATTAAGCATTAAATTATCATTTATATGGAAATGGATCAGTGTGGTCACTTTCCTGTCTATATAATTTCTGTGAGGACCCTCGGACCGGGGAAGTTTGTTTCGGGCTGATCATGTGGCAAGCTAAAAGTCAAGCTAATCATTAATAATAGTAATAATAATAATAATGTTAATATAGATGTAATTTGCACAGTATGTGAAAAACGTTTTAATACTACATTTGTATTAGGAATTTTCAGAATTGGTATTATAAAGTAAATTGTAAATGGAGTAATTTCACCTTCCTCAAGTACTGCCTATAATGTTTTGCATGACTACATATTTATAGTAGAACTACAGCGATTAGTTAATTATTAAACGGACAGATAATTAAAGGGGAACGTTTTATAATCGGCCATTTTTCAAGCATTGCATTGTTTATTATTGCATTATTGCATTTATAGTAAGTTTAATATGTTTGGGTTTGACAAAACATTTAATGATATTACCTCTTGTGCACTAGAAAGGTTTTCTTTGTTTTCAGTATCCCTATCAAAGTTTGAAGAAGTCACTGATTGAAAACCTGGCACATTATTAAGTAGATGACAGGATCACCTGTAACTCAGCCACACCCTAACAACGTCAGTTTGCATGTATACAATTACAGAGGTTTGATGTGTACCAGAGTTGTTTTAAATGAATAGCAACAACTTTAAAAGATTTATGAGAGGGCTAATTGATCCACTTCTTATTTCTGCGAGCCACAAACGCCATCTGGTCAGTTTGAATGTGATGCAATTAATACCTGCTATCAGCCATTATTAACATAGTCTCCATTATGCATGAGGAGTAAAGAAGGCCAATGCGGTGAGACAGGTGAAGTAAAGACTCTACTTATCAACGGTGACCACGCAGTGACACTTAAACCCTACCAGGTCTGGTATCGGAAACGGTAGACTGAAGGCCTATACATTACCACGCTTTGTCCTCGTGGTCCACCCCCAACAAAGTCAAGGGCGTTATAGATCCTGTGACATTTTGAAAGTACCTGTCAGCATCGTCGAAGGAGCTGAAACTCCAGTAGCCTTGTTCTATTTGTCAATTATGAAATTAACATTGATTGGTGAAGAATCCCTTTATCAAGTAACACGTAGCAGCAAGTAGGATTAAAACATAGGACACCGGATACAGTTTTGGATGGTTTATGAGGACGTTTCATTGACTTGGGTTGAGTTGGCTTTAAGGTGCATTTACACCCAAATTACTACGTCGCTTCTGGCCTGAGAGACAGCTGTCAACTGACTTTCAGCATATGGCATTCTCTTAAACAGTGGGAAATGATTATCCTTAAGCTCCTCTAATCCAATAGAGTGTTAGTCCTCTTTGAGGCAGAGAGAGAATGGCAGGCCTGAGGGTCTGAGTGACAATTCCAGAAAATGAGACTAATAACCGTGCATTTAATCACGGGCTTGGTATTTTGATTAGAATCCTACAGACTAAGCTGACATGTTGAATTAAACCACATTCATTTTAAAATCCCTGCCACCTAGAGGAGGAACCTTGTAGTTGTATCATGAAAATATCATGAAAATAATAACATGTATAACTCTAGTATTATAAATACTGGGCTTCAGTGAGCAAAGTACTTTCATTCACAAAGTGGCTCAGAAAACAAAGTTAGGCCACACAATGTGTTGAACGTGTCTGTCTCTCCATACATACACAAGATGGCTATTTGTGGGCTCTAGATACTGCTCAAATTAATTTGACCTCCTTCCCTGATGCAATTAGACAGTTATACGCTGGCATTTGTGTGGCAGTATTTATAGCAGCTCCTGGCTGTCGAGCAGGGTTTCCCTGTTTCACGCGCTCACATGCTAACTCATTAATGAGATGCAACTCTGAGAAATATCCTGAAGCTGGGCAGTGAGGTGGGTCACATGAGAGTAGAATTTAAGAGTGGTGACAATAAGCTGCTGACCTTCCAACGCAGCCCGATATTGAGTCCTGATGTAATACAGTTAAAGATAGACTCCATGACGCTGATGTTTTGAAACCTCGGATGTGACACAAAGCTGTGTCACGTTGAGCTATATTAACCACGAGCTAGGTGGATGATTCAAATCTGTTTCACCAGGCTATAGTGCACGCAGATCATTTTAACGATAAAGAGAAAGCTTCCCCACTGTAACAGGGTTAATCTTCTTATTAGTAGGAGCCGTATCACAACTGCTAAAGTTAGACCACATTCCCACGAGTATTTGTGATGCATCAACTGCAAACGTCCATTGTGCTGCATTTAAATAAAACCCAACGGTGGCTTTGATTAACTGAATGCAGTGTGCGTAAATACAAAAGCAGCCCAGTGTTTTAAAAAAGCTGAAACTTCTTGATTGGAGATTTGACAGAGCACAGGTAGAAAACTTCTAGTAACAGACCTCAGCAGCTGATTAAATCTGTCCAGTTTCCCAGTTACTAAAAAGCAGATTGTGCTTTGATGCAGAGAAGTGAAACGCGGCAGCGTGCGGGAGAAATTATTTAATATTGGAAGCTGTCTTAATAGATGTTTATGCACTGTCAGGAGTCTAAACGCTTCTTGAAGTTGAAAGGCTGAATGTTTTCATGGAGTGGAGTTTGTGTTCTGTACATCACACTATGATTTCCTGTTCTTTTGACTTCATTGTAACAACACATTTGGCGCATAATATGTAGTTTGCAGTGTGTAAGTGTTGGAAGGAGTCGAGGTATAGAGGACAAAAGCAGTGCTTTGTGCCAGTAGGATTTCCTGGCTCTCTAAATCCTTTTATAGTATCACTTCCTCTCTTCATTTCTCAGCTCATCGCTACAGAACAGGCACTACCTACCATCTTTAGGCAAGATTATCCCTCCACTGGGATTACCAGAAGGACAAACACCTTACCAATGTCCTGAATCATACTAACAGATTAAGCTAATTAATGTTCTTTTTCTTTTTGTGTGCTGTTCTCTCTCCTCTTTTTTTCAGTTTCCTCTGGGAAGACGAGCAGCCTGTGATATCTACTGGCATGGCGTTTCCTTCCATGACAATGAAAATATAGTCTCAGGGCAGGTGAACAAGTTCCCAGGTAATTCACCGCTTCTGCCTCTCTCCTCTCCTGTAACCTTTAGTTCTTCTATGTAAAGCACCCTACATTCAATGCTACTGCACTACCTGTAAGTGGAGTGATGGCTTTATTTCAGCTCGCAGTACTTCATTTCTACTCAGTATTCTGTAATCACCACAGAAGGGATTTAGTTAAAGCCTCGCTGATCCTTATTGCTCCAATGCTGACCTTTTCATGCCATGACAATAATCATTGCTTTAGAGACTCTAGAGATTATTGTATTGGTGAAAAATGTACATCCGAATCTACATCACTGGAGTCTTCTGGCTGGCATTTATCTTACACTATGATACCTGTGTCATGTCCTGTCTGTTTGCCTTATCAACATGGACAATCCTTCTTCTATAGATTTTTTTTCCCCAAAGCAATACAATTTCCTTAAAAAACTGCTATCAAAGTGCATTTTTATTGATATGTTACATGTCAGTCTTCTGCATTCATTGTACCTCTGACACAGCGCTTTGTGCATTGCAGGAATGATTGAAATGCTGAGGAAGATCAACATGAGTCGGGCAGTGCGCACTATGCAGGAGTTGTTTCCAGAAGAGTACGACTTCTATCCCCGTTCCTGGATCCTGCCCGAGGAGTACCAGCAGTTTTCCACACAGGTATGGATGGGTGCATAATGTCATAACAAAAACGGTGGATGTGATACATGGAGATTTTCTCTGGACTGAGGTTGTACTTCCTTCCAGTGAAAAATGGATACTGTATGTTGAAGTAGAGGTCTTGTTCAACAAGATGAGAAAAGATTAGACGTGAAAACTATTTTATGAAGGGTTTTAAGCTTTATTTAAGCTTGTAAACTGATGTGGAAATTTCTTTTACAAGAGAATCCTGGCCAAAATGCAGACAAAAAAATACAAAAATCATGCAACAGATTAAACAGCAGTAAAGCATAATTAAATACTAAGAGGGCTTTTTCTTTTGCAGACTATTCTAAGTGGCCGGAGCTGAAAACATTAAGGCCTCCTTTCCCATCTCCGTTCTTATAGTTGGGACAGACAGCAGATTATATCTCGTGATCGGAGATAAAGATTGCTTTGATAAATTCTCAGAAGGGCTTTGTAAATAAAAGTATACTTGAGCGACTCGACGTCTGGAAAGAGAGGGGCCAGAAAAAGCTCTGAAAAGTAAAGTAACAGTGTTTCTTCTTGCCTTGCTTCTTCTGAATTTTGTTTTTAAAAAGTTCATATTTCAACAAGAAACAACCAGTATACAGATGTCTTCACACTGCTAGTGCTCTTGTCCCTGTCCACCATTATAGCTGCTCACCATACTACATTGCAACAGCAGTGCTGCTCTCTTCTTCATAATATGACTGTTTAATTCTTGTCACGCGCTTTCTTCACTGCTCAATTTCCTCGAGGGAAAAGACAGACTGTAACACATTTATGAATTTTACCCTTTATGGTCATCTGACACCCCTTACCACATGGTTGAATCCAGGAGGATTATCTTGTAATGGCAATACAGTATTTAGCAAGTGTAGACTGAAGTGTCGAGAGAAAGAGTTACGAAAAGAATAGTGGAAGAATGAGCAATCCATCAGCTGCTTTTCCCTGGTTGACTACAATGTTCAAGCATGTCACAACCAGTTACCGAGTGTGACGTTCACCGACAACCAGCCATAAATAAACTGACACTAAAAGCATTTACCTAGATTTGTGTGTTTGTGTTAATCAATTTAGGAGTAATGAGACAAGGAAAGAACTATTATAATGTATTTTGTTATCAATGTTCTTCCTCCATGCCATTTTGGAACGAAGCTACAGATTTGTATTAGTCAGTGTGGTATGTACTTACTCTGCAACATTCAGATTTGTCTCCACCACAGCAAACAGTTTTTGGCAGCCACTTCTTGTTAACAGCAGTACTATTAGCATGGGGATTTCAGTTTTTATCTGAATTGGTGATATACTGTAATAGCATGGACAGATGGTCTGTAGTTCTGTTCAAAGGAAATCATATTTAGCAACCATATATTATGTCCAGCAGGGGGCACCAGAATATCACTATTATAATTCCACTTTAGTTTAGTTTAGAGCAGACAAAAGTTCTTCCCTCTAGAAAGAGTTTTACACAAATCTTAGGCTTTTGTTCTAAATGGTCTGTATGTCACAACATCAGGGCTTAGCTATTACATAGTATAGGACTGGCCTTTGACTTACTGCATATATAATATATGCTGTATGATGATAACATTTCTGAGGAACTCTGAAGACCATAAAAAAACACTAGACTAATTTAAAGATATATATTTTATTTACCTTGAAGGTAGAGATGATAAATAAGGGTATTTATTTAACGCTATTGCACAGTAATGGACTCATCAAGGGTCCATAATGGTAGCCACACTTCTTTAATGTCCATGATTTCTTGGGTTAATTTTTCCTTCAGAAAGTTGTTATTCTCTCTTGTAAACTATTACAAAAAGACAACATAATCCCTGGTGTATGTAAAAATGAACTATAAAGAAAGTCTTAATTGACTTTATTGCTTAATCTAAGTAGGAGTTCAGTTATAGCCATGTTACTAACTTCATTAACTAATTTATTTGTAAGAAGAAGACGGAAGATGATCATTAAATGAATGTATGAAACATGTGTGAATCAAGTGTTACTAATAATGGTCTTCGAGACGTTTGTGAACCTTATCCTTTCTCTGCTGTAGATTCGCATGGTGAAGGAGAACGATGCCACACTGAATCCCACTTTCATTGTAAAGCCAGATGGGGGCTCTCAGGGGGACGGCATCTACCTCATCCGTGACCCTAGTGACCTAAAGCTCATGCCGGGTTCACAGGCCAAACAGGCTGTAGTCCAGGAGTACATCCATAAGCCGTTACTCATCGACAAGCTCAAGTTCGATATCCGCCTCTACGTGCTGATAAAGTCCATGGAGCCATTGGAGATCTACATTGCCAAGGAAGGCCTGACACGCTTTTGCACCGAGCCCTACCAGGTAGCCATAATGGCACTAATGATGCCAGCGGGTTTACTGTTAAGCCGTTAATTTTCTCTTGGTGCCATGAAACATGTACTTACACTTTATATACAGATAATTAAGGTCACTCTTACTGTGATTGTGTAGGAACCAAGCCAGAAGAACCTAAGCCATGTCTTCATGCACCTGACAAACTACTCCCTCAACGTCCACAGCGGTAACTTTGTGCACTCAGACAGCCAGAGCACAGGCAGCAAGCGCACTCTCTCCAGCGTGCTGTACAGGCTGGCAGCTAAAGGCGTAGACATCAAGAAGGTGTGGTCGGACATCATCGCTCTTGTCATCAAGACTGTCATCGCTGTGGTGCCAGAACTTAAAGTTTACTATCAGGCTGATATACCGCCTGGCAAACCAGGACCCACTTGCTTCCAGGTGGGTAGTGGGGGGTAACATTGTCTTAGGAGGTAGAGATTAAATGCAAATAATAATTTATTGTTTGATTAATTCAGGTACTGTACATGGTTAAAATATTGCTATTTTGTTGGCAGCTAAACCAATAACTTCTGCTTGAATCCAATACAAATAAATAACATTTTAGATATAGATAGGAGGTTTTTGGTACACCGCTAGTTTACAGTCTACTTTATTCTAAAATAGAAATACAAAGTATGTAATTAAGGATGTGTTTGTGTCTCAGATATTAGGTTTTGACATCCTGCTGATGAAGAACCTGAAGCCAGTATTACTGGAGGTCAACTCTAACCCCAGTATGAGAATAGAACATGAACAGGAAGTAAGAGTAACTCTCAACATCAGTAATTTCATAATATTAGCATTATTATGCACTCTCATGTAATGAATATCTGTGTTTTCTTTCAGGTGTCACCAGGAGTTTTTGAATACGTTCCTAGTCCTGTTGACGAAGAGGTCAAAGTGAGTGTGATCAGGGACACTCTGCGCCTTATGGATCCTGGCAACAAGAAACCTTCAATGTAAACACACACATTTACACACACGTACACGCACAGCGAACACACAGTTCGAAGTTGTAGTTCTTACTTCCCCCGCTCTTTATCTGCTGGTCTTAAGAGTCAATTTTTAAGGGCAGGATATCTTACTCTGCCCATCCCTCCTCGGAGCCCTGCTCTGCACCACTCAACAGCTCCCCATAAGCCTGTTAAATGGAAAAATTAAATTCAGTTGAGCCGCAGTTGAAATTCACACATTCCTGCTGTACAAGCTTGGTGGCTCAGTCTCTCTGGCTCACTGGCCCTGTGTTGTGCCTGGCAATAAATCTCCTCTACCATTAGGGTTTGGGTTTGTTTTTTTCCCCCTCTCAATATGTTTTTCTTCTATGACAAGAAGATTTACTGTTCCTATTCTACCACCATCTCCATTTCTTGCCTCTATTCCCCTTTCTCTCCCTTTCTCCCCCTTTCTCCCTCCTCCCCTCACTTCTTTCTTGCCTTCTCCCGAGATTATCTCCTATATCAGATATTTGATCTGCTTAGTTCTGCAACTGAGAGGGATATCTTCTTGGGGATAATACCCACTTAACTATTATAATCATGACCAGTGCCATATTGATATAATGCGCCTATAATATTTTGAATCCTCATTCCTCCTGCATTGCTGGAATCTGCAGAACCACATCTTGTACTTGTCAATGGATGAAATACACTAAAGCACAGTGTAGTAGACACATTTAGCATTCTGTGCGTTTTGACCTGTCTACTTTTAGAGACCCCTAATCCTTTAATCGAATGTCCCTCACACGGATGTCCTGTTTCATGTTGACTTAGACTTCAGGCCCTGTGTTAGTGGGAGTTATTCAAAACCTTTATATCTTTATACATTTATTTCATACAATTATTGAGCTTGAACAATTACTCAAGTAGTCGATTGACAGAAAATTTACCCTTTTTTGAGTCATTTTTCAGGCAGAAATGTCAAACATTTTCTAGTCCTTAATTTGCCCTTCTTCGTCTTAGGTGATGATAAATGTATTATCTTTGGGTTTTGGATGTTGTTTAGACATGTCACTCTCAGCTTTAGGAAATTTGTTTGTGTTGATTGCTGATATTAATAATGAAATTAAAGCTAGACTGATAATAATCGACTTGGCTGATCGGCTTGGCTTATATCAGTATCAGTGCATATGGGTACTGATGAATAACAAAAAGACCCATAACAGAAAGAAAAGATATGTTAGGGGTATGTTATAATTCAGAAAGAGTGTCAGATCTCGGAAATGTTTTTTTCTGTTATGTATTTATATAGAAAAAGACTGATATGTCATTATTACTTTTTTTCACTCTCAAATATCTATATTGGTGTCAGCCAAAATCCAGTATTATTATAGTAGCTATGAAAGTGACAATTTGTTGCAACTTGTTGAGAAATACTATCATAAAATAATATTTGTTGTCTTGTCAAAATGTAGCTTTTAGTTCATTAGCTTTTTAGTTCTAACATAACATTTAAAAAGTTTACCTTATATACTGCACAGTGATTTGTCACTTATTTATAATGTGACAACGGATTATGTTTCAAATCATCAGTCTCATTTAACTGTGTACATACCGGCATGTATTTCCTGTTTTATTCTAGACACACACAGAAACTAGATCTCCCAATTTTAAGCATCCTAAAGCCAATTAAGTAGTGGGAGAATATCTTTATGAAATACCTCTGTGAGAGAGTATTTACAGTTTGCAGTCATGTGGTGAAAAGAGGCAGAAGTCCAGACTGGAACAAGGTGCATTATGGAGGAAACGAGTTCAGTGATCTTTAATACGATATAATTCAGGGTCTATAAAAGTGTAACACAGCTGAGCTAGTGGGCTGTAGAAGAAACAGTGACACTGACAAGGACGGGGTTTATGATGTGAGGGAAGTTATAGACACTAGACAGTATTTTCGTGTAGTCTCATGTATCTTTACATTTGCAGGAATATACCATGGCACTAAACAGGGTGGAAGTGTTAATAAAGTTATAAACTTAATGGAGAGATAAAACATATTATTCCTGAGCAGTTATATTATTAGAGAGCAATAATGACAACAAATATTACTAAATGACAATAATGGCATAAGATAGCAAGTACCAGCGGCCTAAGGTAATAGGGTGCAGGTGTATGAGGTGTGATTAGGGATTTGGGATGCTGATGATAAGTCAGTCCTCAGCTATTAAATAATTATTGATTAACAGTAATAAGAATGTTGCTAATCAGTGATTAGGAGATACAAAGTGGACCCAGATGAAAGGTGAAACTAAATCACTGGCTTTTAGCCTTCAACTCCCACAGTACATTTCTTATCATAAATTAGGACAGTAATATTGTAAAAGCCTAAGGCCAAAATATTTCTATATGCCATCTATATACATGAGAAAATCAAGCCGCAGTAATAATTCTGCTGTGGTTTAGCACAATTGAAAATGTTTGCTTCCCAAACACAAAGATTTATTATTCATGTCAGGTTGTGGTTGCAGGGAAGTGTGTCAGCTTTGCAGATAAAGAGTGATTTTTGCGGTTTAGGGGGTAGATATGCTAATTATGTCCCAACTAGCTAGTGCTAATATTTATTAAATTAGCCATTAGATTGGATATGCCCCGAAAAATTTAATCATCACTGCAGCCAACGACGTGGGTGGAAAATAGGAACTCATTAATCATTCAGTTCCACAGTGTGTTCTTTATGTGTTGACACAGGCACAATAGCAGATGCATTGTACACACGTGTTGGCTGTCTGATGGAAAACACAGGCTTTTGCTACATTGAATTTTATCCATTTTAAATTAAGCCATTTGTGTGTGAGGATGTGCCACTAGCCAGTGGTGGAAGCACACAGATTCTTTAGTGAAGTAAAAGTACCAGCACCACAGAGTAAAAATACTCTTACATTCAAAATTTTATGTAATTAAAAGTACTAAAGTATCATCAGCAAATGTATGTATGTAGGTAGGAAAGAAGAAAAAACAAAGTTAAGTTACCGTCTGTTTTTTTCTCCAAACCTTTCTCTAATCTTTGTTTTTATTTGTGAGGTGTTGGATATTTTACCTCTGGGGTTTGAACGGTTATTCAAATGAAACCATCTGAGAAGTTTATGAGTTTTTCAGTTCCACCAAAGAGACATTTCCCCTCTAGACATCTGAAATGTGACAAGGGGCCTCATAAGGGGCCACAAGCCGAAAATATTGGAACCACTGCTTTAATCTTTGAGATAATATTGAACTTTATAAGGTTATTATATGATCCTTTATGTATAATCTTGAAGGGATAGTTCAGTTATTTTTAAGTGGGGTTGTATGAGGTACTTATCCATAGTCAGTATATCACTGACAGTAGATGGTGGTTAACATGTCCCTAGTTTGGAAAGAAAGAAGGAGGAAGCAGGGAACAACACCATCCAAGATCCACCTAACTGCAGAATATAAAATAAATAAATATAAAAACATCACAGTAAATAAATAGATAAATAAAACTAACACAATTAATGCAAGCTGTTCCAAAAACTGAGAAAAAAAGAAACTCTACTGGTCTGATTACAGGAAATAAGCAAGGCAGACAAGAATTGGGTAACCATTTTGTATCAGAATCAGACTCTTTTGACATGATTGAAGCTGGCATTCACATGCATAAATTTAGATTCAGTTCAATTTATTTACTGCACAGATGGCCTACCAGCAAGAATTTACTTGTGTTGTGTTTGCTGACAGCTGTTCAGCAGTGGGATGGATGGGATCCAGTCATTCAGAGCGCAGAGTTTAGACTGAAGTCACCCCCGTATGAATTTGACTCGTCAAGATGAAGTGAAAGGGGGGCGAGAACTGACCAGGCACACAATACAAAGGTACAGCTGAGTTAGAAATGGTGTTGCTAAAAGGAGACAGAGTGAGCGCTTATATAAGAGAGATTAGTAAATATAAAATGGCACAAGGGTGGGGGGCGGCGGGGTAGGGGGTGGATTAGTGGCATTTTGGAGAAAAGAAAAAGGGGAAGAGATAAATGGGGAATTATGAGGAGGAGAGTGCGATGGTATCAGTGACTCTCAGACATGTACTTCTCGCAGCCAGCTCATTATTCTGGTGTATAATGTCTCTCAGGGTGATTTATGAGCCATTATGAGAGGTGTGTGTGAGTGTGGGTGAGAACAAAAAGCTGAAATTCATGGAGCGCATACCTTAAAATAGGGTGCAAGGGACATGATTGCAAAAGCATCATCTGCATAAAAAGAAATAATATGTGCCACTTCTGAGTGGGGTTTGAGTGCAGTCAAAATCAGCTATGATTGAACCATGTGTCCAAAATGCAGTGTTTTTTAAAGTGAATACCTTTTCTCATTGTGTTCCTGTGGAAGATTTGATTAACATGCTTATAATCCCCATTTTAAACCTTCAATAACAGATTTTTTTTGCCACTTGAGGGCAGCGACCAACTCCTAAGGAAAATATCTGTCTCTTTATTGGCTAATATTACTATTTGCTATGTTGACCAGAGAGGCTAACTGTGGCTTTCCGCTGCGCTAAGAAGGTCGTGTGTTCAGTTTTTTTTTTTTTTTCTAAAAACATCTGCCTGCTGCTTCCGAAAATAGCACTCCGAGAGAGGTGAGAGTGAACCAAAGTAAAATTGCAGTAAAGAGCTGAAACTGTACATACAGCTCTGTAAAGCCAAGGGGAGCTTCGGGTGACAACTTTCTGTATGTTCATTGCTTTGAGCAACCCTTTTCACATTGGCATTTGATACGTTGTTATTGAAAAAATATTGATTTTAGCAGCTTTAAGTTTTCTGATTCTTGTGGTTGTGTGGATAGAAACAAGTGAAAAAAAGGCAGGGGAGTTAAATCATTTATACACACAAAATGTTTATTGTTATCTGTGGGAGACTATTTCCTGTGTGTGTGTGTGTGTGTGTGTGTGTGTGTGTGTGTGTGTGTGTGTGTGTGTGTGTGGGTGTGTTTTGGTATGACTCATGCTCTGAGAAAAGCTCAGGCAATAAATTCAGATTTCTGAAATGAAAAAAAAGTGTGCGGACACTTTTGAGTTCTTTTCATTGACACATCTGGCAGCTTTAAAGACTTTTGACAGTGTGCAAAAGCTTAGAAGATTTATTCACCAGGAGGCCAGAAATAGCATTTATGCTGGGTAATGACAGCTGAATTAGGCCTCGTCCTCCTTGCATACACTCAACCAGCATTTGGCACTGGGCCTCGGTATGTCTTTTTAATAACCTGCCATCCTTTACCTTTTACCCTCTTGCTTCATCTCCATCACTTTCTTCCGTCCGTCTGCTGGGAATGTTTGGAGACATCCCCTTCACTGTCTGGCTGACAGCTTCTGTTGAAGATGTGTCGGTTTTTTAGCCGAGCCTTTCCTGTCTAAACAGATGTGGGTGGTGTCCCTCTGGCTGCTGAGGGATGATTGATTCTATTAAACATTCAGCAGTGCTCTCTCAGTGCCATTCACACTGCTTACTAATTCATAGAGAAAGAGACGGCCTCATAAAAGTCAGCCGTACTGTATCCCCTTGAATGTGCCTTTTTGTCTTTCTCATTGTTGCCCACGTGTTTGCATGGGCAAGCGTTGACCGTAGGAGTTGTCCTCAAATGCCCTGCACACCCACGCAGGTGTTTTCACTTATTCGCGCTGAAGCGACCTCGGCTCAGGTTGCTGTGATAGTTATTTGAGGTCACTGGACTCGGTGAATTAATGAGAATGACGAAGGTGGAATTGGTACTGGCGTACAGTAACAGGTGCGGCATGGCTAACAGGAGAGGGAGGGAGACAACAGTCAAGCACAGTGTGTACATGCCCACGCACAAAAACACACATAAAGCCTGGCTCCCATTAAATTTCTCTGAGAAGCAGCAGATCCCTTATGAAAAGCACAATGGCACAGCTGGTTAGTGAGAGACAGGCAGATAGTGTGGAGGGCAAAGGTCAGACAAATGAACTATGACCTGAAAGGTGTGGAAAATAGTGGGGCGGGAAGCAAACACAGCTGATACTCATCATATATTTATCGTAAATACATGCAATTTCACATTTTATTCCTAAAATAACACCCCAGTCAGGGATCCTGCTCAGATTTTGACATTGTTAGCTGTAATAGCTACAACAGTGGAAACGATGGTAAACTGTATTCGAATTAACTCTTTGCGCTTTTGGATTTTGCTCATTAAAACTTCTTAAAGGTACCCTGTGGATTTTTTTGACCTTCGTAACGCTTTGATAAGTGGGTGTCTGTTCTGCGCGCATGAACATGCTGTTGATGGTTTTGCACTATTCTGACAGAAACGCCAAGAAACGTAGCGATATGCCAGAAAAAGACTGCAAACGTGGACGTACACAATAAGAAATATTTTAGGAGAAAGAAAATGTGTTTGTATGGCCTTGATGATGGACATAATGCCTTTTGGTGAGAAGCACTGAGTCTAAGCAGGACAAAGAAAAAGTCCCTTGAGAGTATTTGCGATGCTCAGAGGTGCCCTGTGGAATATTGATGGTAACAGACAACCGCAACAACCCCCAAAAAACATGTTTTGTTTACTTTGAACTTTCTCACCAACACTGTGTGTGTGTGTAGCCTTCCAAACTAAAGCCTTTCTTTTAATATTTTTGGAACACATTTGTACCTGCTTATTTACATGGAACTGCTTTCTTGACCACTTTGATGCCATGGGAGAGTGACAGGCCGAAGCCATTGTCGATGGACTTGTTTTGGCCAGCTTGAGTAACTGACAGAGTGCTTTTATATGTCTGCCTCATCGGCATTCAAAGCACCAAGCAAAATGTCAATAACCATCAACAGTTGCTATGGAACTGGCAATGTGGGTCTTTGTCCGAACCAGACTTTCATTGACTATGTTCTATACAGAATAATACAACTGCACAGAGCCACTGTGGATTTCCAGGAGGCATCACCTGGGTATATATTTTATGTTTTTATGATTCACTGCACTTCCTTTGTGGGATTTGTTTTACTTAAGTAACCACACTCGGTGACAAGTATCAACTCTTCATAAGAATTCAAAACTGATTTTGAAAGTCTGAATGCCAAACCTGTAGCAGGTAGGTGCGTCTTGCTGCTGATGCAGTTAAATGTTGTTGATGTAAGCACAGACAGTAAAAAGACTGTACGGAGGCAGTGAGATGAGCAAGTGAAAAGAGAGTTATTTATCCTTCATACAACATTACTCTTTCCCGTTTCCCCCTGCCAAGCCAGACTGTAAGTGCAGACTCAGGTGAAAAGCTTGGTGCATTTATCTACCTCAGGTGATTGGCTGTCTGTTACTCAGCTGACAAAAGTTCTCCGGGTCCAGACCATAAGGTCATGGTCTTGTGCTTCAGTCCTGCAGGGCTTGAAGGCCATTACTCCGTCCTAATGCTGGATAGCACAAACAGCAGTAAATGTAGAGACTTTTGTAGTCTTTAAATCTCCAGAGCTGCAGGTGAAATGCTTGGTCAGCTTACTAATACATTTAAAAAAGAAATGACTGCTATTGAAATGCCAGGGGGTAAAATGTATAATAATCTGTTGTTTTTGTTTCTGTCCGATCATTTCATGGCCATAGTTCCCATCCAAGAGGCGGGGAGGAGATTCCCATGGAGGCGGAGACACAAGAGAGGAGCCAGGATGAAGGAGCTCTGCCCTCGCTGTGTCTGAAGCAAGTCTACCCCAAGTACACCAAACAGTTCAACTACCTGCGGCTGGTGGAGCGAATCGCAGTTCTGTTCATACGCTTCCTCGGGGTCAAGGGCAATATGCGTCTGGGCCCCACTGCCTTCCGAACCTTCATCAGGTGCCGGTTTTATTTATTTATTTCATGCTGCTAAAAAGTCCATAAAGGTCCAAATAACTGATCTACTGATCTATATCAACACAAAGCTATCAATGATGTGCCAAACACAGACAAATGATGACTAGTAAATACAATATTAGAGCTACATTTAAGCAGAAAACGATCCATAGAATTCATAAAAACTAGGATGACATCAGATAGAAATTCATCAGTCATGTAGTCTGCTTTGGGTACATCTGCATTTGTTTCTTAAAATTAAATGCACTTTTTGATTCTCCAATAGTGTTCGGTAACTTGATCCATTCTATAGAAGCCCTGTACATACCTGTAATTAATATCTAGGATTAATTTGTTGTTGTTTATCTGCCTACTGAGTGGGATATGTATGTGTTTGACCAGACTGCTCTCATAAAGCTGGGCTAATTGAAGTTTATCAGAATCCTTTTTATGTGCGGTGACTGAACAATAATGAATTCATTTCACTTTTCATTGCTGATTAACTGAAAGTCTCATTCTGCTTCCAATTATCATTGATTTGGATTTAGATATGGTTAAAATCATGCTGTTTTTATTGACCCAGTATTTCAAATAAAGATAAAAATCTTTGCTTCCTAACAGCCAGACAGCAAAAAGTCTCGTTTATATCTAACTCACCGACATGAACACACATCTTGTCCTGAATCTTAACCTGTTGAACGAGCCACCAAACAAACATTCACCGGGGAAAAGTGCCCTGCTAACAGCAATTTGCCGGCTAAATAGCTAATTAGCTGCTCAACTGCCGCACATTAAGCATATAAAGCATATACTAATAATAATAAATATTACTTAGGTTCATTTACATGCAAGTGTGGTCCTTACTCATCAACACCACTAACAACACGCTGTCTGGGCATGTTATGTTGGTTTTCTGCTGGTTTTTGTTGTACTTTCCTGACGGTTCCCCTGCCGGGGCTCAGCCTGCCGGCAGCTGTCAATCAATCACCAAAGCCGGCAGCCGGCTGAGACGACCTTTTTTCTTCGTTTTAGTAATAAAAACTGTTTACAATACATTTAAAAAAAACATGTTGACATTATTTTTCACTGCAAAAAGGATTTAAACGTTCAGGTTGACATGTAAGACCTCCTGATTGTCTTTTAGGACCTGCAAACTGAGCAACAGTAACTTCACCATGGCTTCAGTGGACATCCTCTACATAGACATCACCCGTCGTTGGTCAGGGGCAGTGGCTGACTCTAGAGAAGCAGGTAACGCACGCACGTGTCACACACACACACACACACACACACACACACACACACACACACACACACACACACATAAATGCAAAAACAAAACCCTGACAGAGAAACAACATGTAGAGGACAAAGAGCCGAGTATCCTTGAGACTCGGAGCAAATAATGTGCTCGCAGATAATTGCATGTCATTCTTTGTCAGATTCCCTCTGACATTGTGCTACCATAATTGAAATGAGCTGAGATCACAATGTGACAGCGAAGAGAGTATCCGACATGAATTATTCAGACATTGCACCTTGCAAGGAATGTTTGCGAGGCGAAGCGGATGGATGGAGATCACATGGACCAGGATGGAAGGGCCTGTACAGAGGAGATTGTGGGCTGAATTTAGAATGAGCTCATACGTATTCAGGGTGACTGAAGTCAGAGTGTGTTATTTCTGCGTATGTGTATTGGAAGATTTGTGGGGAACCAAGTTGAGTTATAGAACTCAGATTTCTAAATATTTTTTGGGATATGTGGCAAAGTTTTCAAAGGAAAACATGAAGGAATTTATATAAATGCTGTCCTGATCTGTAACAATTTGAATCCACAGCAAGAGACCGACCAACTCTCACCATGTTAGTCCAGTGTAAAGTAGCATCTCATTCTTTTTACATACACCATGGATTCCTTGGTTTTCTGCACGTGTCTTCCTCTTCTAGGTTGAGAATGAAGGAGGCTGCAGTAGGGAAATATTAGGTGGGTAAAAATTCAGCTCCTGCTCAACTCATGCTCTCGTTGTTTTTCAGGTATGGGACTACAAGCGTTTGTGGAAGCATTTTTCCACCTGGCGGGTCGCAGGTTCAAATCCCTGGCGATGAGGGAGCAGGTAGCATCTCTGCTGGAGCTGTGCGAAGCTCAGCTGGAGTCCCAGTCGGGCGTCGAGGACAGACGCTCCGTGAGCTGCAGCAGGGCGCTGCCGCGAGCTAACAAGACTCAGACGCTGGGCCTCACCAACCCTCAGCTCAACTCTCCGGCTCCCCTGCGAAGGGCGGCCAGCCAGGACTACCGACTGCATCAGAGACTCAAGCCTCGCACACTCAGGGCCAACGTGGAGAACTGACGAGAGTCATCCAACTCCCAAACACTGCCGTTAGCTCTCTCCACAGGAGCAGGGGGGAAATTATGCATCCATCTCTCCTCTGCTGCTCCCGCAAAGGGGGGATGATGGGAGCTGAGAGAGGGACTAGCTCGACCCCTGCTGGCTGACTTGCAGGAGTACTGTTCTCAGCCTGATTGCTTTTTTTTTTTCCAGAAGGAAAAGATGTCCGGGGGGGTATGAGTGGAAATAGAACGAGGAGTAAAAGGAGGTTGGTGCATTTCTTCCTCCCCTCCTGATGAACGATGTAGTCCAATCAGGGGGAGGATAAGGCTACTTTTAATATACCTACTGATTCTACAGGGCAGCTATCTGCTTCCCTTCACCTCTGTCTGGCAACACGTGCACCGAAACAAACTTTCTTTTTCAGGGATAACATTAAGACGCTCCAACTACATTCAGTGCATTTACACACGTTACACATAAATAAACGGGTGTAAGGGAGTGTCCTCAGTGTGTGTATTATATTCTTGAATTTGCACAACAAGCTCTTTGAACCATTACTTTTGCACAGAAATGGATGTGAGGGTGACTGAGCATTTGTGTGGGCATATTGTGAATGTGTGTGAGCGTGCGTGTATGTACTGTACTTTATTTATTTGTGTTTAGCCCAATGGTGAAAGCCTATTTACAGCCAGTGGCTCAGCTGTGCATTCTAACTCCGTGAGCCCATTAGTGACGAGTTAAGTGAATAAGTATTCAAAGGGAAAAGGCCACGCCGCCACTTATCCTCTTTCAGTTCAGCAGCTATTCCTGTCAGGCAGCCTCAGACCCATCATGCGAACGTGTTTTTTAGGATGATTACTTTATAACCACACGACTGCCATTGAGAATTAATTATTGCAGAAGTAATCGCATGGCACAAAATGTCACAATTTAGACAGTTTTCTTAAATGTTATTCAGATTGCTTTTTGTGATAAAACCTTATCCGACACACAGAAGGACCGCCGCCGGTGGACGCAGAAAGGTCTTAGATCATCGCCGTCATTTCAGATTATTCACACTACAGTTACTCTACTGGACGTTCATCGTTGAATTGTATGTTTTTTCTTTTACACTAAGATTATTAAATTGATTTGTCACACGCAGACCAAGAATTAAGCGTGATGTGTCTCACAAAAGAACACTCAAACTTAAACACCTGCACTGTGGGCAGCTGTTTTAACACATACAGTGAACTCAACATGTTTCTGCTATACATACTGTGGGACTGACATATTTACTGCAGTATGTATCCGACAACAGGAAGTAGATTCATGAGGTTATTATCAGTCACATTAATTAAAAGTTCATTTTGCTCCTTGAACTGAAGATGTGTGTGTTGGCCACTGCTGCTGTGATATAGACTGCATTTAAAAAAAAAAAAAACTATGAGCAAATCATGCAAAGGCTAATGTACTGCCCTCATATGTGCACCATTATTGTCCTACCTCGGAGTGATTTCCCCCATGGCCTCATTAAGGGCACCATTTGTCACATCGTTAGGGGATGATATGTCAAATAATGGCAGCACTGTTGGCAGTTTGTGCTATTCATATCTCTTTCTTGAACGAGGCTGATAAATTAGCCTGAAAGAGCGCTTTTTTTTTTTTTTTCTTTCTATGTTTTAAGACCTTCGATATGTTTCACAGCAACAACCATCTGCCAATGTTTCCTCGACCTTCTGTCGCAGAGGCTGGTGATGGCAGTTGATGCTGCAGCGCTAGTCTTCATGCTTAGGGTTTTTTTTTTTTGTGTTGCTGCCCAGTTGTTCAACAGCTGAGGTGTCTGGCACCAGTCAAATAGATATATTTTTACCCATTAGCTTCCCTTGAAACGTTGCACTAGTTTTTACATGTCAAATACAAATCGCAGTATTACAAGGAAATTTATATTATCATATATTTCTATACATCAAATTACTGGATTATTATTACAGATGCGTTCATATGTAAGCAGCATTTTAGTATAATTGGTCAAGATTAAGCTATTTTAACTTTGTGGGGCAAGGCTTGACTGCCAGTCTGGCCAAGTGGGCAACTTCCACAGGACCTCAGACCCCCTGGGGCCCCAAAAGCATAAAGTTTACAATGTTGGTATAAAATTTAGGCAAATAAATTCAAGAACTGGTCGGTCACCTTGTGTCAAAATCTAGTCATAACAACTTCATTTTAATTCTTACTTTTCACATGGTGCATAAATCAAGTTATTTATAGTGATTATTAAACCTGCCTTTAACTAATGGACACACACTGGCACCAGTAGTGTTCCAGTGGAGGAGTACTGGTTGGTTCTGGCCACATAATGAAAGACAGGGATCCAATATGGGCTCAACAGCAAGTTTTTGCCTCACACTGTTGAGTATTATAATTGAACTACACTTCATATAATATAAAATGATTCAATTCAATTCAATTCAATTTTATTTGTATAGCGCCAATTCATAACAGAAGTTATCTCAGGACACTTTTCAAATAGAGCAGGTCTACACCGAACTCTTTAACATTAATTACAGAGACCCAACAGTACCACCATGAGCAAGCACTGGGCGACAAGGGCAAGGAAAAACTGCCTGTTAAAAGGCAGAAACCTAGGACAGATCCTCCGGCTCTAGGTGGGTGGTCGTCTGTCTCGACCAGTTGGGGTGAGAGAGAGAGAGAGAGAGAGAGAGAGAGAGAGAGAGAGAGAGAGAGAGAGAGAGAGAGAGAGAGACACAGACAGACAGACAGACAGACAGACAGACAGGTGCACAGCAACAACAGTACTGGCAATGGCAGTCAAGCAGGACCATGGCAGGAGGCTCCACCAGGATCCATGAGAACCTGCGAGACGAGAAAGCACAAGAACTCCGGGGAAGAAGTGGAGTTAGTAACATGCATTAATGGGACATGAATGAGTGCAGAAAGAGAGGGGAAGAGAGTAGCTCAGTGCACCATGGGAAATCCCCCGATAGTCTAGGCCTATAGCAGCATAACTAAGGGATGGTTCAGGACTCACCTGATCCAGCCCTAACTATAAGCTTTATCAAAGAGGAACGTCTTAAGCCTACTCTTGAATGTGGTGAGGGTGTCTGCCTCCCGAACCACAACTGGAAGCTGATTCCACAGGAGAGGAGCTTGGTAACTGAAGGCTCTGGCTCCTGTTCTACTTTTAGAGACTATAGGAACCACAAGTAGCCCTGCATTTAGAGAACGTAATGTTCTAGTGGGGTAATAGGGTACTATGAGCCCTTTAAGATATGAATGAATGATCATATGCTTTGTATGTAAAAATCTTAAGTTGCATTAACTTGTAACTATACCTGTTAGATGAATAGCAGTAGTGGGGTAAAAAGTACAATATTTGCCTCTGAAATGTAAAGCAGTAAGAGTCAGTCAAGCACAAGTTTTACTCAAAATTGTACAAAAGTCAGTACTTTAGTATTTATTGTTAATTTATTATAATGTAATGAGTTAAACCTGTGCTTACATGAAATCACCTACCTTAATATGCACTTATGCATCTTTTATCCACACTTTTAAATTCAAATTCTCATTGACTTTCTCAAGACAGGCAAGCCTTTCTATGATTAGAAATTATGCATAAAACAGATAACCGACAAGTATTTCTTTGGCCTCTCCATTTGGAGTGGATTTAAAGTATGTACTCCATCTCGTCATCAACAAGTGGCTTAATAGGTGGCTGTGTTTGCTAGCCTTTGATACTTTTGAGTCATGGGTGGGAGCGCTGCAGAGTGGCTTGTTTTTATCAGTCTGATGTCCTAAATAAGTGCTTTTCCCTGGGGGGGCTGTTCCACTTGGCCAAAGAAATAAGTGTGCCTCACAGGGAGCAATTAACAGCACAGGAGCTTTCATTTAAAATACAAATAATGACAATCTACTGTTAATGAGGTCCACTCTCCCTGTTCGATCACATACTGTGTAATATTAAAGACTTTGATGCTGCATTTCTCCAGCCTTCGCGCTACTTAGAAACAATATGCAATACATTTTTTATATAACAATCAGCTCAATTTACAGCTGCAGCTATTTGGGAGACATTTTGTTACAGAATCCTCTCCATTTTTTTGTTGTTAAGGCCATTTCAGGCTTTCTTCTACCCACTGTGGGGAATAACAATCAGGCGGTATGTAGGTCAGGCTCGCTGAGGAGTAGGCACCGCTCAGTCTGTCACATCCCTCCATCATAGCCTCCACTCTGCCTTTGGACCTGGAGTCTGAGCATATGTTCTCTCTAGCTGCTTGTCATCTATCTAGGCCTGCTTGAGTATTTAATGAACACGTGATTCATCTGGCATGCAGTCAAATTAAGCTTCATTTACATTTCATAATAACAAAGCGTCACAGAGAACAACGCGAGCAAGGCTGCGAGAGACCGACACAAGAGGATGAGATTTTAAAATAGCTAAATAAAACTTTAATAGGTCTAGTTGCAAATGTACATAAATTGCACAGCCACATTTTGTCAACACAAATTCCTCTGTACATTATTGTTTTGTCACTGTCGTCAAAGGAAGCAGAATCCAGCAAATACTTTATACTTTCAACATACTTACAAAAGTATTTTCTACAAGATAATAGAAAACATACAACATCTTTTACTTTATTTATAGCTTTATATTTTGATTGATCTTTTGTCGGACTGGCTGAACTGTGTGAAGAGTGAGCTCACGGTTTTCTGACTCCGAAAATTCAAACTGAGGTGGGAACATGGATGGGATAAATGAACCGATAGCTGAGACGTCAAATTAGAAACCAAATATTAGTGTCTTCAATTTTTTTTTTTTTTTTACATGTACTGATGCGGCTTACAGGACAACTTTATATCAGTAACTTTTATTGTAGTACACTACAGTTTAAAGCGAGACGATGCAACTTTTGCTGAACAACTGCCATTGCTAAATGCTAAACGCATATTACACTAAACTACTGCTTTAGCTAAATGCTAAACTGTGGTTTACAATTTAGCAACGGTTTAGCATTCAGCTAAGGGTCTAGCTAAAATGAAAAGCTATTGAAACAGTAACAAAAGTGCAGAAGAGTCATAAAGTCAGTGAATTGAATCAGTAACGAGCCTTATACAGCAAAATGTATCTAAAATTGGCAAACATTAGCTAATCTTAGCCACCAAAAGCTACTAAGTAAGGCTATAAGGTTAGCATCGACATTTCCCATTGTTTAGCTTGTGTAAATGCTAAACAGTAGAACTATATACCCAAACAGTAGTTTACCATTTAGATAAAATGCTACGCTATTGTAACAATAGCACAAGTGGAGAAGACGCATAATCAGCAAACTCTATCAGTAATGTGCCTTTTTACAGCAAAAGGACCTAAAATTTGCTAATGTTTGCTAACATTAGCCACCAAAGACTTCTGGTCCAAACAGGCCGAGAAGCATTAAGGCATTAAGTTAACAGTAAAACTTCAGAGTGTATTGAATTAAGCAATAGTTTGTGTTATTGCTTATGAATTCAACTATTCATTTGTAAGATACAGAATGTATTATTTCGTCTAAAGTAACACAGTCTCGCTTTAATATTTGCAGTTGGAGAATATTGGTTTAGGACTGAAATGCCTGGTAAGATATGATAAAGAGAGTTTTTTTAAGATTATCTTTATATTCAAACAGGAAAAAGTTTTCACGGTTTGTGAATGAGATATACCAAAAAATCCCTTTCTGCGGTTTTGTACTTGCCACATTTTTTAACACCTGAAACAGGTGCCGTGCTAAAAAAACAAACAAAAAAGAAATAGCTAATTATAAACACTAACCACTGAACATAAAAGTGCATAGAGCTAGACTGATGAGAAATACAGGATTGTGCTTGTGAATCTCATTGAGACTGGACTCAGCTTGGCCTTAAACCAACGAGGCATCCTCCGCAACTTCCCAAGAGTCAAACTCCTACTTAATCAGTTTTTTTTTTTTTTTGGCTAGTGATATTAAACTCTTAATACAAAAAACAATAGCTTTAACAGGGAGAACACTGACAGGTTAATTTAATTGTATAGTTCTACCCAATGAAGACAGATGACTGACTGAGCTATTTTGTATTTACAATATCCATAATGATACAGCAGAGTTTGAGCACAAGATACATTTACAAAAAGCTCTGTTAACATTAGGTAAAAATAGTGTGAGCATTTTATTTACACTTTCCCAGGCTGTCCAGCCTCTTGATGCACCACGTTATCACATATTCACTGTATATGTCTGCAGCAAGCCATTTGTCATCATCATCATCATCATCTTCATCATCATCATCATCATCATCATCATCATCATCACCTTCCAATTGGCAACAAAAGAAAAAACAAATGGTGGCACTGACGCTACCATCGGCTCTAGGGCGAGGATGAAGCATGCAGAGCCTCACACCTGGATGTGTGCAGACGGTTACAGGTAAGAAAGAAAAAAAAATATGAATACAAAAATATACAAAATACAGATGCTGGGGGGGGTGGGGGGTATGGCGCAATGAGAGCGATGCCGGGAGAGGTTAGAAGGACCAAAACCCCCATGTTGAGACCGACTGTCAGTGAGCAACTTCACATTCAGAAGAACGAGGGATGAAGGAGGGTGGAGGCGAGTTGAGAAAAAAAAAAAAGAGTAGAGCGATGATGCCACTAATAGAGTCACAGTTTGGATGCAGCATACTTCATTACCACTGACAAACAAAGCAGTTAGAGAGAAAATGTTTGTAAGTAAGGAGGCCACTATTACAATGGCTCACCGGTCCAGTGTATAGTATGAAGGAGTGTCTTTGAACACATCTCTCAATAGCTCTTGTGCTACTAGAGAGCGGAGACCACCGCATGTGACTCAAGATCAAACCAAAAACTGTGTGTGTGTGTGTGTGGGTGGGGGGGTTAAACTGATCTGTGTCTCTAAGAGCAATGACAAGCACCAGAATGAGAACCGATCGTCTGACTGTGCAAGTTGTGCGAGCTACGCCGGAGCTTTTTTAGAACCACTGCACAGACGTTTTTTCTCCAATGCGGTACGTACTGTATATAAAGGGTGGAGCGAGCGGAGATTTGACGGATGACTGGTGCTGATCACTGCTCCGTGTGGTCTCCTTCTCCAGGGCTCTAAAGCACGCTACACACTACAGTCTTTCATCGCAAGAGAAGAAAAATAAAACTAGATCTCACTCCTAAATAAAGGGCTGCTTTAATATTTGAGATTATCAAATATAGATATAGATATGTGTGTATACTCTATAGAAGAAAAAGAAAGTAATGCATACATCTATATTAAATTTAATTAATATAGTATCACATAGAATTCATTTACTTTAGTCTTCATAATATATTTAAGTGTGTACAATTTATTTTTGTATCCTTTACAAATCCACAGTATAAGTTGTGCTTTTTTTTTTTTTTTTTTTTTTTGCAGAAATGGGGGAGCTGTGGGATAAAGTCGAGGTGTGTTCCTTACTTAAGGCGTTTCATGTACCAATAGCTTTTCACAAAGTGCACTACATAGGGATGGCGGAGGGAGGGGAGGGGGGAAGGCGGGACGCTCAGGAACACACCCAAGAAGTGAGGGGGACATAAAAGGGACGTAAAGAAGATTATTTTGGACTAAAAATATCATTCTTTTTCAGCTCCTATTTGGTTCTTTAGAAATGACTTTAAAATAAAGCACTAGAACGTAATCCTCCCAGGACAACTAAAGTGATAATCCTCAATGCGTGTTATTGTTTTTAAGTGGGTCCACTTGGTCGTCGAGAGGGAGAAGGATAAGAGAGAGAGAGAGAGAGAGAGAGAGAGAGAGAGAGAGAGAGAGAGAGAGAGGAGGGTTGCTAGGGTGACCGTGTCAGGTGGTCGTCACTGTGTGTGGTTATATAGTGGTTCGTCCCAGGCTTTAGGCGGGGTCTTGAATTGTCCCGGCGGCTGCGTACATCCACTGGCAATGTGTTTAACTGATGGACAGCTTTGAGTTTGTGAGTTTATGTACAAGCTCCGCCCCGCCTCCTCCGACCGCCGCCCTCGTATCGAAGGCCGTCTGGTGATCTTATTCTCTGGGTGATCTTTCCGTCACGCTGAGGTCACGCCTCTTCCGGCTAACCCCCCCCTTTGGAGTGATGACTAAAAAGTGGAGATGTCTTCCAAGAAGTAGTATGTCTGCTTTTAAAAACACGCGCTCATCCTCGCAGTCTTTCGAACAGGCATGCATCCATGCATGCGTGTAGACGTCCTCTCGTTGAATAACTGTACACACCAGGCACTCGACACTCACACTGGGCAGGTACCAGTCTGTCTAGCAATTGCTGCTGTTCCTAAACTCTCCGTTTTCAGTAATCTGCAGTTTGGTGGGGTTGGTGGGGGAGATGCCGTTGCGGGTCTGCATGCTGTAGCGCTCCTTCAGCTGGGTCAGAGCGCTCATCAGACGGGCGTTGGCAGCATCCAACGATGCTATGCGCTTCTCCTGCACACACACATAAATACAGAGACTCAGTAAAAGAACAAACCTATTTCAATATTTACACACACAATGATCTGTCCCTCCCCAGGTGGAGGTTATGCCAGAGTTACCAAGCTTCAAGTCCTGCTGTAGCAAAATGACCCGTTTAGCAGTGGCAGTTTCTTATTAGTGGACCCCAAAAAAAAAAGAGAATATTACAGATGTCAATGCTGTGCCATCACAGAAATAAACAGGAAATTTTACATGAAATTAGATGCCAAAAATACGAGCTGCGTCTAAGCCATTCCTGACTTAGACGGGAGGCGGTCGAGGGGTGTGATGAGAGAAGATTATAGTACAGCTACTAGCTTATCTTTATTTTAGATGATTTCTGTCATTTAACAATCAGAAGAAGGATTTATACAGTAATTCTTAAATTAAGTGCTTCACAAGAGACATCTATATGTGGCGGGTCTTGGCCACTCACACATTTTCGTTTGTACCCGGTTGTGAGTACGAGAAAACTGATGTGACAAATTACGTGCCACTTACAAATCTCTCCGTATGAGTGCTCCTTGCGCGAGGCTTTCCCGTGTTAATTTCATAATGTGGGCAGGGCTGAGCCACAGAAGCAAACTTCCCTCCCTGTCTGCGTAATGAGATTTTTTATTTTCATTCTCTCAGCCTGTTTACCGAGGGAGACAACTTATTGCCTTACTGTGGCGCGTTTGTTTGCAGATGCAAAGTCTCATTACGTGGAGGAGATTAATCACCTATGCATGTCTGCGTCTGGGTTTGTGTAAATGTCATGTTGCCGCATAGTTTCCAACCCCCCCCCCCCATTTTGTTGTAAAATCGCTTTGACATTAATCTCCAAAGATGCACATTTGCATTGTGTGTGTCTGCATGCATATAATGCACACTTTATCCGGCGTATAGAAGAAACGGTATCTACAGACGACGGTAACAAACACTCCAGCAGTGTTTAATCCTTTCTGGCAGCAGCAATGCCCACACAGTCATTCTCTGCTTAATTTATAATTACAATCAACATTTCCTTGCAGCCAAGCGCTCTAAAGCAACACTTTTTTTTTTTTTTTGTTTTCTAAGAAGGATTTTCCACACGGTTTTATATGAATAAGAACCACATGGATTAGAGAGGGGCTACATGTTGACAGGAAACTAGATAAGACATTTGTAAATGTATGTTTTATAAGAGGTGTGGGAGGGAGCTGAGAAATTCTGCTCAGCCATTCAAGCTTGTCAATGCCAGAACAGAGGCAGCTATGAATTAAACATCTCTGTATTTTAGTGACCCTTTGTTTCCCTCAAGAAGACGACACAAGTGACATACAAATGTAGATATATGTATATAAGGCTAGATATTTTCTGTCCATCAGCTTGTTTGGCAAGGAGCAAACTGACCTGTGCATCGATGATCTTCTGTTTGGAGTCTACCACTGCCTGCATGTCTGAGTGATCCTTCTTTAGCTCCTCTTCCACCGACATTAACCTGGAAAAAGGATGAATTTGAATAGACTCTTAAAAGAACTTAACAGAAAGGTTGCACAAGGCTGCAGTCTGACTGCATTTCCAGCCCATCCTCCTACCTGCTGATGATGCCCTTCATCTGGAGGTCCTTGTCGTCCTGCTGTCTGCGCAGGCGCTCCTCCGACTCCTCCAGCCTGGCCTGGTACTCCATCAGCACCTTCTGGGCTTGTTCGTCCTGACCCTTCAGACGGGCCTCGTACTCCTCCAGCTTCTGCACAGACGCCCGCAGCTTCTCTTGCAGCACCGCGATCTCCTGCTGGTACTGAACAAAGAAGCGGAGAGATGAGGAGATTTCTCATCATCGCTGCTGTCGTTATCATCACGATAATCATCATCATCGGCATTATAAATCCTATCAGCAGGATCCCCTTCTTCATTACCATAAATGACAAGAAGAAAAAGAAATTTCTCAATCAGGTCTGAGCCTTATGTCCTGTTGTTCCTCGGACTGAATATAATTTCTGCCTAGAAAAAGAGAGACGGCCTCTTCCAGGGAATCACACACTTCATTTACAAGCCATTTTCATTATTGCACTTTTAAACTACACCTTTATAGGAGCCCTGAAAACATTTCTCTCAAATATTTTTCCTTTATGATCAAATTATGATTTTTTTTCTTTTCAGTCAAACATTCCTAACACAGAGAAGCTTTGATCGATACTAGCAAAGCTGTCATTGCAAAAGAAATAAACTTGGGTTTGGCTCTGAAACCAGTGACCTGTTGAGAGGTTAAACTGGCTAAAAAACAGAGAGAAGAAGAAAGGAAGTTAAGGATGGATAAAGACAAAGAAGAGGTGTGGAGGGAGGGATGCAACCAGTGAAGTAGGAGTCTGTGAAATAAGCCCTGAAAATCTCTCCCTGACCTCTCACTGGACCTTAGAGAGGCTTTTAAAAGAGTTTTCTTCAGGCGAGGGGGGAAACGAATGGAGGAATCAAATCTCTTCTGGATAGAAAAACACATTTCTTATAGTGACTGAGCGGATGCTCTAGTCAGTCAGCGTGTCGCTGGAGGACCGGTGAGAGGACAGGAGTCTACGGCCGTACTAGCAGAATCCCTAACAATCCAATCAAATCAGCTTTATTTGTCATATACAATCATACACAGTACAACGTATGGTTAAAGTAATCCTCTGCATTTAACCCATTCTAAGTACTAGGAGCAGTGGGCAACCATTGTGCCTGGGAACCAACTCCAGATCTGATCCAGATCCCTTTGGTCATACGTTTTTAGCTAAATGCTAACGTCAACATGCTAACTTGCTCACAATAACAATGTTAACACGCTGATGTTTAGCAGGTAGCATGTTTAGCATGTTCACTGTGTCAAGGAGTGCAGCTGAGGTTAATGGGAATGGCATTAGCTTTGCAGGCATTTGGTCACAAACCAAAGCACTGGACTGAATTAGCATTTTCAGATCATTATAATTTGATACAATACGTTAACGTATTATATACATAACTTATCCTTGTTTCTTGGTCTTATATTATCAATCTGACCCTCAAAGTCTCCTTTATATAGCTGACAGTAAAACACAAACAAAGAGAAATAAAATAAAAGTACCAATCACTCAATCAATAGTATTCATATAACTTTTTTTTTTAAATTACAGCCTAAACTAAACGTAACCAACAACCAAAATGACCAGTTTATGTGTGTATTATATGTGAACATTATCCAGCTCATTATTCAGCAGTAAGTGATGGAGAACACTGTGCAACTATCAGAGCACCCTGAATGATTAGATTCAGTTACACACAGTGAGGATGCTGCTGAGATCATTTATCTTTCCTTGTCATCTTCTACTTATTTTCACATGTCACTCTCCTGCCTACCACGGGGACATTTTTCCCATCAACCCCCAGCCGCCCCCCTTCCCAGGTGGAATATTGACCTTAAATAGATTTATCTTATCGGCTCCTCTACTCTTTCTCCACTCCTCTCTCTTTATCTCTAATATCCGTCTGCTCTTGTCACTAGATCCCCTGAGAGTGAATGACATCTACTGTATCTATAACTGCCTTTGTCCTCCCCCTCAGTCGCACGATACATCTACTCTGCACCCCAGATGTCTTTCTCTGCGCCGGTGGTAGGCAAATAGCGGCCCGTGGGTCAAATCCAGCCATCCAACAGAAATATTTGGCCCACTGACAAAAGTTTTACTGTTTATAGTTAATTAAAACCTTTACACAATTTTTAATACAATCTACTGTAAATACAAGGCTATGTTATAACCCAATAAACAATAAATATGGCCTCATAACATCTGTGTTGGTGCAGGTTGCTGGAATGAAGCCCTCAGACACAAGCCTAAAACCAAACTCTTTTAAAATGCCACCACAAATGCATTCTTACATAAAAGAAAATAAAAGAACAAACAGGCCCGTGTTCCCACTCCACAAACATTGCTTCCCCCGCCAATGACGATGGCCCATGGTTTAACCTTATTGCTGACCCCCGCCCTAGGCTCCCTTCTCTTTCCTGCATCCTCTCTATCTATTTGAAACACAGGACATAGGTCAAACCTTTTCTCTAATGCACTGTTTTGAACAAACAAACAGAATTAATCGAATGTTCTCTTCTTCTCCTTTATTTAACTGCTGCGTTGAAACCTGAGAATAAATCTTAGCCTCACATAAACACGTTCAATCGGTTATTTTGGCTGCGTTTGAATATCTAGTGGAGTAAATGTTTTGCTGACATTTAACCCTGTGCCTTTGCATCACTGACCTCTCATAAATACTTGTCTATCTCATAAATATTTGTGTATTTTGGACACAAAGGACATATGAGTATTTCAATCCTGTATGGCTGTAATTGTCCTAATGATTGATACGTAACAGACAATGCATTATCTCAGTGTCTTTCTTTGTGACTGTTCTTTTATTTATTATGATGCATCTGCACCCGATGTTACATCTGATGATGTTAAATGTAGATTACATTTCCGACCATACCAACACTGAACTCACATCTTTCACAGGACTCAAGGAAGGCTAAATGGAACTAGGAAGGACTGTTAAAAGAGAAAGATTTAGACAATGCATGAAACTAACTCCAGAAATGGGGAAATATCTATAAAGGACACTCATTTAATGGAATTTGGAGATGGAAAATAAGCTAAAGAATTAAAATACGAAGATGGTGGCGTAAATGTTTGATTATGAGGATTAAAGTAGAGCTTGTTTGTCATTAATGAAGAGAAGAAATTACATAATATGATGATTATATGCAATCAACAAGTGAGTCATTCAATTAATCAGATTTTTGTATTTTGTAACATAACTGAAGTACTGAATTTAATGATTTTTTTGCCTGCTTTTTGGTAATTGCAATAGCACAGGATGTTCCTTTTAAATGTATTTCTTATATGTATAATTATGTAGATGAGTTTTTCCTTTTCCATTTTTTCTTTATGTAGTGTAAGCAATTTAGTTTGGTATTATCTTGCAATAAAGTATGATAAAAAGTTATATAAAAAAGAACTCATATCTTCCATAACAACAGTAACATTAATTTCCTACTAAAATGCACAGCACAACATTTCAAGCTTCCCGTGTTCTCACATACAGTGTGCTATTCAACGAAACACTTCTTACATATTCAGTGCTGTTCAACTGGATAATTACATTTCAAATCGCATTTGTTTTTAAAAAAAAAAGCTACTAGTATCTTATTATTGCACTTTGTAGTGTTCATCTAAATCAGAAAATGTTTTATTTATTTATTAGAAGTTCTGTTCTATGTCCTGATGTCTACTCCTCCTAACAAGACAAATGCATTCCTTAATTTGACACAGATCACTGAATATATACAGTATATGCAAATGGTTGTGAAAGCCAAAAATGGCAACTGTATTGTTAAGTCTGTATGGGCCATTAGCTGCAGCCTGCGTCTAAGCTGCTGTGGAAGATGTACTGTTTTTCCAATCCTTCTCTTGTTGCTGCTCTGCTATTTTAAGGTGGCTGCGGCTTCTTTGTTAAGACTGAAGTTATTGCCTTCTTTGGTTGCTCTCCCTGCCTGGGCTTCTGGCTTCCATAAAGTATGAGCTATGTTAGGATGACAGGTTTGTATTCATTATGGATGGGGAAAAAAAATGGGGGAGAATGTGGCAGCCAATCAAAGCATGGAGGCGAAGCTGAGGGTGAACGGTTATAAAGGTTGCGGAGAAGAGAAGCAGGAATGTAGGCAGAGGAAAGCAGCAGCAAAAAGCCTCTTTCTGTCTCTATCTCGCACATAGATGCAAGCGCACACAAGCTCCAACATGTCTGTGTGGATGTACTGCATGTGCATACACACACATACACACACCTGCTTTGGGCTATTAAGTTCATTCCAAAGATGGTGAGAAAAGGGGAGGGGAGGGGGTTGTGAGGGGTGTGTGGAGAGACGAGAAGGTTAAAACTACAACATCCAACTTTGTTGAAGTTAAGTTAGTCGGCGTGAAAATTTGTCTGGAGACAGGAAGTTGTTAGCCAAGTCCTCCAAATGCAATGATAACTCCATTAACTAATAGACATAAAATTAAGATGCAATTATTTTCATTATGGACTAATTGTTTTAGTAATTTTTCAAGCAATATGGCAAACATTTCAGCCTTTTCAAGTCGATAGATAGTAAAGATAGTGAATATCTTTGGACTGAGACATCTGAACACGTCTCCTCAAGCTGGGGGAGATAATATTTTTCTCTATTTTCAGACATTTTATTGACTAAATGATGACTTGACAAAATAAGGTGCAGATTAATAGATAACAAAAATAATCCTTGCTATCCTAATATTCAACACTGGCATCTGCTGACAACCACGCTGATATTCTTGTCTGCTATATTTAGCCTCACAATTATTTTGACTGTAATCTACATTCTGCCGTTACTGCTGTTGCTATGACTTTCCTGCAGCTGACAGCCACAACCAGACCCACTGCTTGCTGACAAAAAAATTCCAGAAAAAACAGCCTGAACATCACTGAAACGCCAATTTCAGGAAAATGGGAGCTTGAGGTGTTATGGGGTCACATACAGAACCAGACTGATGCACAATATATCCTATTTACCTCAATTGTATGTTATAAATACAGATATTATGATTTTAAGTGGCAATTTGGATATGTCTAAGGGACCTCAGGCTTAGAGGAAAGGCAAGGGCAATGTGGGAATAAATATAGCAGATTGTTAAGTGTAGAAGGGGTGTTTAAGAAGGGAGGTGAATGTGGGAACTAATGAGAGGTAAAGAAAGGAAGGATAGTTAAGTGGGAGTTTCAGGGCTGAAGGTTGAGGTGGTTTGTGAAAGGAGGGGTTGGTAAAGGTCAAAGGTTGGATGAGGAGGCAGGTTACCTTCTCCACCTGAGTCAGATCCTCTCTGTTTCTCAGTGACTCGGGCTCCATCCCCTCATGGTCTAAATACTGCACATTCATATTCAATAGCCAGGCTGCTGTGCGGTCCAGCGCACTGGGGTTCACTGGGGAAGGGGCCTAGTAAAACCAACACAACAACACACAAACACACACACACACACACACACACACACACACACACACACACACACACACACACACACACACACACACACACACACACAAGCACACACATGAGCTGAGTGCAAGTGACAGGGAGGGGAAGGGGAGGCAGGTTGCAATAACAGCACAGAAACAACAGAAATAAGCTTGAAATGCACCAACTCATCTGGATTGAAAGCAGCAGGTGGAATGGAGACACACTCCTGTCTTTAAGCTCACGCACACACCAGAGCACACACTTCAAAGCACTGATTCAAATGTGTGAGTGTGCACACGCACAGTGTCGTACTAGCTGCAAGGAATGTAAATACTTCAAGATTAAATGAGTGAAATTGAAATAGCCAGGAGGCAGATACTAGCAGTTGTGTGTGTGTGTGTGTGTGTGTGTGTGTGTGCGCTTCTATCTGCCAGTTATCTGATGGACAGATGAGTAGAGAGAGTGGCCGTGGGCTGTTACGGTACATGAGAGGAAACGTAGGATGTTTTTATAGTCCGACACACTTATTAGCATTAAGGGCCTTTGAAACGGCTGAAATATCTGAATATGAATATATGCAAATGGGAAAAAATCGAATAAAAGAAGTCTACCGATTACATGTATCGTAACTTGACTACGTTGTTGGCTTCAGTACCCTCATTAAAGACTGATGTCAATGAATTGACAAACTGTTTTTAAATCCAGACAGATTGAATTAAGATAATAATCTATTTAATTGACCTAATTGTTTTATAACCTCCACGACACTAAACTACTCTGGGAAGGAAACTTAAAGCCACTATACAGAATTTAAAAATGTCCAACTTCGGCATCCCCCAAAGGTAGTATACAAAAAAACCTTCTCTCAATGGATGTGACCCCTACTGTGGGCTTTGTTCCCCATCTCAATCTTGTACAAACAAGACTAAGATTCTACAACCTGACTGCAGCTCTGTAACATCAGCATGCTAACACGCTCACAATGACAATGCTAACATGTTAGTTACATTGTTCACCATCTTAGTTTACTATGTAGCATGCTAGCATTTGCAAATTAGAAGTAAACACAGAGTCCAGCTGAATCCTTAAGGGAACAAAAATGTCTGTGTAAAACTGAATTTCACTCAAAAACCACAAAATGTCAACCTCATAGTGGCGCTAGAGGAAACAGTCAGGGGATCGCCACAGTTAGTATGACTCAGCGTCTGGGAAATGCTTAATGTCGAGATATTTCACCGGACAAGTGAAGGCTTTAGACCTGCTGGTGTTGCTAGAGGAAAGGTGACTGGATCCCAAAATGATCTGATGATCTGATTCATCCTCTGGGGGCCATTCATTTGTAAAATTTCAGGACGATCCATCCAACAGTTGTTGAGATATTTCAGCCTGGAACGGGGTAGTGGAGAGACCGTCCAACGTAACCATCCCTAGAGCCAAGCCTCTAGCATGACTAAAGAAGATTTAAAAGATACTATAATGGCATAAGAAATCACATAGTGGCTTTAAGGTCCTGGACAACCACAGAGAATAAACATGTGTGCTACCATACACATATAATTAGGGTCTGGTGCTATCAGTAAGTCGTCAATCTAAAGGAAATCCTACAGACTATTTTATAGAGAGGAGAGCAAGGCATTGTGGTTAATATGCAGATGCCCTCCCCTGCAGCCAGTCACCTAGAGCAATCATTGAGCAGCCTTTAGTCCTGGCCTGCCAATAATGAACACAGACCTACCAGCCATGGCCATGAAGAAAACTCCAATGTAAACCTCCCACTGTGACCACACACTGACACACTTATTGTATCAACACACTAAAACCAGCAATATTCTGCACCTGTTTGTATCCAAGAGGTCTGTCGTCTGTTTTGCCGTGTGTGCACGTGTGAGCACATACAGTATATCGCCTGTTAATGAGATGCTAATTGTGCATCCACCGCCCTCATTCTCAGCCCATTAAACTTGACCAGTAAAACAGTGGTGAAGTGATGAGCTGCCTGTATGCAAATTACTGTTATTACATGCACTACGACTATAGTTCATTAGGGCATAGTGTGCCGAGTGTCTGTGCTGAGTCCACCCACACAGCCGTTTTCAACATGCTCTGAGACAAAAGGGGCGTTTTGTAATAGGAGCCTTATCTATCACTGTAATTTCCAGTGATTACATAGACTGAGACAGCTGTAGTTGGCTCTTCAATAATGCCCTAATGAATATCATCCTCAATTAAGTTAAAAATGTGTATGCTTCTACAGTCGAGGCTTCGCGCGAGTCCCGTACCTGTTTGTGCTGAGCCCTCTGCTTAGTCTCAGGACTCTCGCCTTTGGAGGAAGAGGACTGCTGTCGTAATCGAGCGCCGCTGCCAGGCCAGTCGGGTGATGATGTCATCATGTTGCCAGAGGAGGGTCGTGGGTAAGGTCCACTGAGCAGATTCGGGGGTGTGCGGCCCCGAGTAATACTCTGAGGCGGAGGCTGGTCTATCCTTCGCTGAGGGCCGGCACTGTTCTGTCTGGGGACGGTGGGCTGGTGCTGTGTTTCTGTGAGGGACAGCTGTCGGCGGTTGAACTCCCCTGAACGCCTGGTGTACTCGTCCCCACTGCTCCCCCCACCTCCACCACCACCACCTCCTCCTCCTCCTCCTCCTCCTCCTCCGTGGTTCAAGAAGGCATGCTTCCCTCCTGCTGGTCCGTCCTCATTGTTGCTATGGGAACTAACAGAACTGTGGCACTCTGAGCCCGAGTCGGTCATTCCACGAGGGGACACGGGCAGGCAGGCTGCCATCTGGTAGACTGGGTTCTGGAAGGACAGGGGGGCTAGTAGCTGGGCGGGTCGGCCTGGGGTGCTTTCTGTGCCCAGGGTGGTGGGGGTCTGACCTGGCCTCCTCAGGGTGGGACCTCCAGGGATGTTGCCTTGTGGGACCCTGCCCGACCAGCCTCCACCAGAGGCTGGGCCTTCACCCAGGGCATCTGCAGAGCTGGGACTTGGGCCCCCTTCCAGACTGCGGGGGTCCTGGAGGTCCACCATGGACAGACTCTTGCTGCCATTGGACATGCCCAGGTCAGGTTCATTGGTTTCAGAGTAGCTCGAACTGCGTGCTGGGGAAGGCTGGATCCCTGAGCTCCTTGTCACAAAGAATAGGTCCTTATTTTCTGGGGTAGGGGAGGGTAACCTGGTGAAGTCAACTAATCTGAAAGAGACAAAAGAAAAAAAAGAAGTTAATCTTCATTTTAAAACCTCAGACAATTAAGATAAGTCACAAATTAACTGATAACGTTGAGTTGTGGTCCCAAAAATAGTAAATTTAATTTCACATTTATTTGACCAAGAAAGCTTCATTGAGATTAAAAACTATTTTTCTGTCCTAGTTTAGTTTAGTGTCCTAGCCTACTGTTATGACATAATGTCATAAGTCAGAATTTAACAATTGTATTAGAGTTCTCATAGAGCAACTTAAAGCATACATACATACTAGACCACGTAAGGCTATAGCCACAAAATGTGTGCTTTATTGCTTGTGAATTAGATTTTAAATTTTTATTTTCTTCTGTTAAAAGGTACATTGTCTCGAAACGACAAAAACAGTTTTAGATTTGGTAATCTGAAACTACCAAATACTATAATACTGTAATAAATGCATTTTTGAGGATGTGTGGCCTCTGCACTCGTTTGCTTTGTCCCTCTTCTCCACACCTTCCCTTTCTTCCTTCCTTTCAGCCAGCAGATGGAGGCTTTATTGCCAGAAGACGATTACCTTGACAGACGTGATTTATCTTCCAATAATGTCTATCATTCACATCACGCTCATCTCCTCCCTCTTTCTTTGTCCTTCTCCCTCTCTACCATTACCCTTCCCTCCCAACTTCTTTCTCCTCTTCTTTCTGCTCAATTTCTTCCCTTCCTTAATCTTGGCACTGTCTCCTTTTTCTTTCTCCTACTTTTCATGTCACTGGTTGGTGGATGAGAAGCAATTAGCTGAGAATTGTGGGCTCATTCGAATGCTGTTTTAGTCTCACAGCTTGCTGATGATGATACACCACACACAGACACACCGACGCCAAAATATGAGCAAACAGTTATTGTGATAAGTAAAGAGGATATGCTCTGACATCCGGTCATATATATATATATATATATATATATATATATATATATAGGGACATCACCTAATTAGTTCTATTGATCCTGGGCTCGGATTAGCATAATGATACCAGCTGTCTGACTCTTTCTGTTTCTGCTGTTGTCTCATCTTCCTGTTATATACAGTCTGATCTCATCCGCCTGCTTGTGTTCTGTTGCTGTGTTTACTGGTGTTTATGAGACACATATTTTCATCATCATTTCAATAATGTATCCCTTTCTTCCTGTTGGTCCCTGTGCCTTCATGTTAATCTTTCTGAGTGTCACCTTGCCTTTGTTCTGCCAGGGAGTAAGAGGACAGGAGATAAGCGAGATAAGGTGCTGTCAGTGTGTGTATTCATCCACAGGAGAGTAAACGAGGTTTCATCTGGCTAAACAAGCAAGGGGGTGACACTCTCGCTGCGTCATGGCCTCACCTGACAAACATTAACACTCAGCAGAACTATTGGTTTGAGAACACATTCTGGCTGACTTTGAAGAACAACAGGTATATTAGCCTATCTCTAAATCATTTCTAGCCAGACCCTGTAATCAAATTTGTCAAGAGATGGCAGTGTGCATAGACAGTAAAGGCAAAAGCCTGGGGCACAAAGGCACTGTTGGGTGGCACAAAGGCCTGGGAATAAGTAAATGACACAAATACTGTAAATAAACATAGGTTGCAGATTGCAGAGGTAAAAGCGCCCTTTCAACAGGCTCTGAGATTTATAGGTTACTGCCGTTCAACAAGCTGGTGAGCGGTTCTGAAGGTTCCAAGTTTATATAACTTGGGGAGCAGACGGCCACTTTATTTGTTTAGTGATATAAGGACTATTCAACTTACTTTTTATTCTTCCCGATGGATAAACAAGGACTGATATCTTGTACATTATATTCTATATGTATTGCACTTCAAAGACTCAAATGAGGCTTTTTAAATATGCAGAGGAGGATGCTATATGTTATATTTATGGTTTGCACAACTATAACTGCCGGCGCCAATATTTATGCCAGCAGCTGCAGCACATATATATATATTAACTGCCTGCTCACTGTCAGTTACTTCTTCTGTGTTGCACAGTTCCACATATGCAAATCAACTTTCTAACAAAGACAAATAGAAAATAATAAATTTAATCTTTACGACTGGACCCCCCCACCCCCCATCTGGCACACTATATCTAATAATCTTCCAAATCTATATTCAAGATTAAAAAATAACTTACAAAAGAGTGTCATCTGCATAATTGAATAAACTCTGTGCGTGTGTACTAGAGATCTTAAATATTTCTTACCCTGAAAGGTCATTGTCTATAACCATCTTTTGCAGGCCGGTGGAGATGCTGCAACTGGGCTCAGCGGGAGGCGAACCCATATGCTCTGTGGACTGTCCAGTTGTCATCTGGACACTGGATGGGTTAGATAGAGCTGTGTTCACTTCCCGCAGGATCCTGGGCAGAGGACCCAGCTTGGAGGCTGCGCCCTGTGAAGAAAGAAACACAAACAAGTCAAATTAAATATTAATTCAACCACTTCAACTGGGACATTAATTGGATTTAATTTACGTGCTGTTTTGTAGAATTTAGTATTTGCATATTTTAAGTTATTTTCCCTATGTCATGCAATCAACTCTCTTATTCAGACAACATGCTAAATAATGAAGTAGGCTGGCCAGTCTGATGGACTGGACTATCAACCAGACTCACTGTGATTTCTAAATTATTAAAAGACGAGGTTTCAGAGAGCTCAATGAAAAAACCCAACCAAAAAACAAGATTCTGACCTTTATCTAATTATTACCAGCTTCCCATCTGCTACCAGAGCTAATGTAAATGTCCTTGTAAATCCATAAATATGCCTCGCTCAGCCTCCCAGGCCTCACAGTGTTCTCCCCTTGTGCACTGTTTATGTAATGCAATAATAAATTACTGATTGATGTACGATAAACATCCTAATGTAGTCTAAGCACGATTCAAATCCTGAAGCTTGTGATGATGCACTGAAGACCTTTGGACCTTCTGTAAATCTCCTATTCTATGTATCTATGTCTCTATAGAACTTTGATAGAAACTAATGCATTACAAGTTACCACATAATTTTACACAGAATGTGGAATACTGAAGAAAAGGTTTGCAAACATTGTGCAAAAATAATTCATATTAACTTTTAGCTTCATGTCTACAAATGTATGAGAGAGTAAAACAGGGTTACATTTACAATTTTGTACAAGCTAAGTAAGAAAAAAGTGCTGATGACAGCTAATGCAGCATGCCATCTTTAGTACCTGGTCCATCTGGGACACCACCTCAGAGAGGAGAGAGTGCAGGGTGGAGAGTTCTCTGCCAAGGTCGATGTACCCCTCAAAGCCTGCCGTGTTAGAGATTGTCTCTGGGTTCGAAATTTCGAGCAGGAAGCGCTGCATATTGGTCCACTCGTGCTCCAGGAACTGGTTCATGAAGGACATGTACTCTTCCTTGTTACCAAATCTGGGAAAGGGAAACAGGAATGAAGAGCAATGTATAAATGTAATATTAGAAAATGCCGCAATTCACTGCTAAAAAGCTGGGTAAGGGTACGAAAAACAACACACTCACTTGGTGAAGTTTGCCAGGTTCTGGGTGACTTTAGCGATGAGTGTGAGCGTACGTGCTGTGCGGTCATCGGGATACTCCTGCATCAAATTGAAAAGTGAGGGTGACATGATGGCTGGACAGAGAAACCGCAGGAACAAGGACGCGCTGATCAAACGCTCGCTGATGTCTAGTCGACCCCGGTTGCTGCATTCCTGCCGCCATGACGCAAAAACCTCCTTTAGTTCTCGTGGAAAGACGCTGTTGAGAATAAGAGATGATGAATAATAACGTGTTAGCATATTATTTGCATTTGATTTGAACATCTGGCAGGCTGTTACACCAAATTCTTTTTGGTTTTGCATTTTTCAAACAACAAGAATAAAGTTGGTACAGATTTGATTGCAATCACTTTTAATGTCTTTATTTTATGCACTTGTCACTTTTCATTATTCACTATTTCTTTGCAACTTCAGCTTACCATTTAAGCATTATTTATGAATCTATATTTATGTTATAAATAAATTAGCTCTTAATTTCATATGTTAATTGAGTGTGTGAATATGCATGTGATCTGTTGAGGGTTGTTCTTAAAAGTTACCAAAAAACTTTGCTGTAAGTAGGAATGAGTTGCTTGATTGAAAGTTTTTTTGATTTCTGAAGTTGCTTTAAAGGACCAGGGTGTAGGATTTAGTGGCCTCTAGTGTTGAAGTGTAGATTGCAACTAACTGAGTACTGCTTGCCTTCGGACTGTGTAGAAACTACGGGGGCTGTAAAACTTGCAAAAAACGTGAAAGGCCCTATCTAGAACCAGTATTTGGTTTGTCCTTTCTGGGCTACTGCAGCAGTTCAGCATGGCGGCCTTTGTAGAAGAGGACCTGTTCCCTTGGTAGATAAAAACGGCTCATTCTAAGTTCACAAAAACACAAAGATTCTTTTCTCCAAATGATACACTCGTGAAAACATACGTATGAATATTAGATTCCATTTCTGTCAATAGATCCTCCTAAACACTTGACCTTTAAAAACTCACATACCCAAGTTCTGAACAACAGATGTCTTTTATAAATGACAACTGCTACTAACTGGCATGCAACCTAATTAAAAGCCCCTTCAATAGCATTGCCCTAATTGTGACTACAATCCAACGGACTGAAAGTCAGTTTCCAGGAGACAATACATGAAATAAGAGATTTTGATGAAATTCTTCCTTTTCATTTGTATTGTATCACATGGATATTGTTAAAAGATGTGCAATTCGACACTCCTGGTTTTGCTATACAGTTTTATATAGAAAGTGAAAAAAAGGTCAATGCTGTGTCGCAGTATTCACCAGTATGAGTTGATGATTTTGCAGAACGCCAGCTCGCAGCACATCTTCAGGTTACTCTGGTGTTCTGGCAGGTCACCTGACGAACACTTGGACGGATCCACCTCACAGTTCTCATCTGACTCATACAGAGCCTTGATGAACTCACCTGAAGAAAACAGGACAATATGTTAGAAATTAAGGAACATATGGGTTTTTGTAGATTGTAGTTTTTTAGTGTCTCTGTGAGGGAAAGGGAACTGTGTTTTGTTGTGGACAAGGAACAGAGGAAGAATATGATGCCAAAGCTACAGGGAACAGAGTCCTTGATCATTCTCTACTTTGACCTATGACAACACACACAAAAACTGACAAACCTCAAAGATTCATGTAAGCCAAACAAGGTTACTCTCGCAAAAATGTTGGCAAAAATAACAATGTCCTTTTTGTTACCTCCATTCAGATAAAAGACACACCATTACTGGTAGTTTCAATGAGTCAACAGCCTGTAAAGGGAGCCCATAGCTGTTCTTGTGTTGCCCGAGTCGCAGTTTCAATGATTTCAACAGTTTAACAATAAAAAGTACACCAAAAACCGTGATGCATTATTTACCAGCCCTCAATATTTATCTGAAACAATACTGAGAAAAGATTCAAGGAAATCCAGCTAGTTGCCAAAAGGAGACACACACAGACAGAACAACATAAACACACACGTCGAGCATTAATACTAGCAGCATACAGAGAAAGATGTGACGAGTGCCAGGAAGGATGTGTGCTCCGTTTGTAGATTAAACTACCACTGTGTACATTTCTGAATCAGGGAGGGAGAAAAAGCACACAGTGCATACAAAGTGCTTATTGTTACGACTGCAGATGCACAAATACACTTGATCTAACCTTGGACTAACATTGTAGAACTGGGAGTAGCGGGTCAAACAATCACCTCATAATAATCTTCTACAAAGTTGATCCTGTAAGTGGTTTAGAATTCCAACAACGGCCGTTAAAGCCAGACAAAAACACATTTCCTGTCACAGTCTGAATTGTGTTGTCCACGGTGAGCCTCCAAAACAGTTGTCTCGCTGTCAAAGTGATTCTTGGGAGGGGAGGACTAATGCATTTAATCTCAAATGCCACTGCTCTTTTCTTAATTGTACTGTAGCCAATATATTTCATTTCATTTGCAGTTACCTCAATATTTTTCATGAGTGAGTGAATGAAGTTTAGAGGTGAATGTGAGGACAAGGGAGAGCAGAAAGTATGAACAGAAATAAGAGGAAAACTCTGCATGCAGCAGAAGAAATAGACAAGAAGATAGAAAAGAAGAACTTCAAGCTGCTTTTTTTTTGGCTTTCAAAACAATTTTAGCCTTGTCTCAGATGAACAGTAGCAGATCACATCCCTCGCCTCTGCTCTCTTCCAGATCACTGCTCAACTCACCGAGGGCGTCCTGCAGGTACTTCTGTCCCACCAGTTTGAGGTATTCCTCTATGGCCTTTGTCGCTAGTGTGTTCTCTCTGAAGATGAGGTGCTCATTCTCCCCGCAGCGATCCACCTCGGACATCATCAGGTCTGTGAGGAAGTCCTACCAAAAAAAAAACAAGACGAGCTGAGGGTTAACAACGGCAGGTCATATAAAAACCTATGTAATTAACGTAAAATGCATCCCCAGGAGAGAGTTGGTGGGTTTATGGGTGGAAAGCCAGACTTCATCAAGGTTTCATTTTTAATCAATGATATTTGAAATAACTAATATACTATCTTCTGTCATTTTAGACACCTGTCCACCAGTGATCCTCTGTGTGCTTCCTGCCTAAGTCACCTGACTGGTCTCCTGCTGCTAATCACTAATCTACCACAGTATTAATACACTCCCCAGCCACTGTTTGCCAGATTGTCTTTAATTGCTGTAACTCTGCAAGCCTTTCTTCTGTCTGTCAGCCTGCTTTAGTTTTAATTAACCTTTTAGTTTTGTCTGCCAGCTATTAACCAGCTATTTCTGAAGACTGTTAACTTGCCTGAGCCTGACTGTTTAGGTCGGTCTCATAGTGGGTTGTTAGTAGCGAGAGTAGCAATTAAATAACTGCAAATCATTGCTGAGTAACAGTGTGACTCAAAAGAATGTACATGTGAATAAACATACAGGAGATTCCTTACAAATGAAACATATGAAGCCTAAATACAAATAAGCCCCAATATAAGATAATCACAGATCTTTTGTTGGGGGCAGCAGAAACAAGCTGTTAACACAACACTGACATATTATCTATCACCTTTTAAGTTGATATGGCAAACTCTGTGGTTATTTTCACATCCAGTAAATGCGGAGCAACATTATCACTCATTTGGAGTTGCTTTTCTGGCCACCTGATGAGTGTAAATCCAATATTCTCTCCTTCTAGCTGTTTTGCTCTCTCCACCAAATCCTGAGGGAAATATCTGTCTTTTTAGCGACTAAATTATCCAATATGTTCACCAGCTAGTTGCAGGCTGTGCCTGTCTTCTGTTTGGTGCTGGACAGGGAGTATACACTGGATTTGTTAGAGCTTTTTTGCTGAAAATGGCTGCCTGCAGCTGGAAATAACACTGAAACAGTAAAACTGGTTTGGGAAAAACAAATCTATGAGCTGAAAGATGCTAAAAATCTCTGTTAAGATGAGAAGAACTGATCACTATTGTGATAACTGTCATGAGAGCGACTTCTCTTCACATACATGTCGTAATTAAATCCACTGTAAGTATAAAATATTTATTATAGCAACTTTAATAGTAAAATCTTTCTTTCTTCTTGCAACTCTTGCATTGAATATCTTTGTCCAAGTTAGCAGTGTGGTCCACAGACTCACATGTAGGTAGAAGCACTCATGAACACGGCCAACTCTCATTAATCATCTTCATCAGTAGCACCTGTACACTCAACTGCAATAGTGAGGCAAGGTTTTTAAATCACATTTTTATGACCAGCGAATGTGAACAAAGCATCATTCTGCCATTACAATAAATAGAGGGAAACAAAATAGCTCTTTTCCTATCATCCTTTGAACTTGACATATCCCAAAATTGAGACTGAGCAGTCAGCACGCAGAGAGGAACAACATATTTACCACTGAACAGACGAAAAACAGCGCCAGGACTCATATTTTCATATAATGGCAGCAAGGATTTTCTTCACTTTCATTTACATGCTAAAAGAGAGATTTTGACACCAGTTTTGCTGTACAATGAGTGAATGAAGGCATACAAATGCTAGTCTCTGTTTCTCTGTACAAATGGAGACTAGAAAATAATAAAGGACACTGAAAAATGTGATGATTTGCGTTGTAGCCAGCCAAGTTTCTACCAAAGTTATGATCACTTGGAAACAACACGTCAAATTCAGAAAGTCTTTCATTTTTTAATAGGCAATGTGAAGTATTTTGATTTAATGCACTTATGTATTCCTCTTATATATAATTACTTGTCTTATTTAAAAGTGAAGGACTATATAGTATTCATCAGGTGAAGAAAAACAGTTGGAGACAGGCATTAAAGCTCCCAAAATTCAAAGTCTGAAAGGGAGAGATGGAAATGGAGCCATCTGGGGATGAATCATCCCTTGTTTAGATCCCTTCAACAAATTTCTGGGTGTACTCTCATGTAAGTCCCCTGGCAGCTTGTTAAACTAGGGGAACCAGCGTAGCAGTGAGGGAGAAGAGAGGCAAGTGACAGATGTACAGAGAGAAATAGAGAAGGAGAGGAAGAAGAGACAGAGCGGTGGTCTTTAAAGAACAGAGGAGTAGGCGGAAAGAAAGCGGCAGAGCCTCTCAGACGGTTTCTATAGCTGCTGCAGAAGCCTGTTATCCGGCTAATCAAAGATACACCACAGGGAGCCAATCACCCACTGATGTGCAGCAAAAGGAGCCTTTTTGGTTAACGCATTTGCACATTCCATGCATGCACCAGCCCCGTACACAAATGTACACACATAAACCTACAGAGAAGAGAATCTAAACTTAGGTTTAACAAATGCACAATGAAATCAAATAAACATTTATATTAATCCCAGACTATAGCACTGGAAGTGTGCGGTAGCTGGTTTGCTGTTTAGACAGACGGGTTATGAGAAAAATAATACAGTGCTTATAAAAAGTAGCAGTAGTTTTCATGCTTTACTGTTATACGATGTTGAATCAAATGGGATTTAAAGTGCGTTCTATGACACTGCTCATCAGAAAAATAATGTCTACAAAGTGATGAATGTTTGTATTCACTAGGACACACCTAAATCATCACTGGTGCAGCCAATTAGTTTTAGAAGCCACGTAATTAGTCAAATAGAGGTCACCTATGTGTAGTCAGTCATGGGGTGTCGACTGTAGTACAAATATAGGTCCACGTTTGGTGAATCAGTATGTGGCAAAACCGACACGAAGGTTGAGGGAGCAACTCCACCAAAAAGGTAAATGTCAGGGCACAAAAGCACAAGTCAGGGGACGGATGCAAGATTTCCAAGTTCCAATTTCCAAGTCACCAAACATCCCTTAGAGTACAGTTAAATCAGTCATTAAGAAATATATTTAGAAATAAATCTAAAATTGAGTGACTGTGCAAGAAGGAGACTTATGAGGAAGTCCAACCAAGACACATCTGAAGGAGTTCCAAGCTTCAGAGGATGAGATTGGAGAGACTGTGCACAAACAACAAGACTTGGCTGGGTGCTTCACCAGTCACGGGGAGTGGCAAAGAGAAAATCATCTCATATGACATTTCGGCTACAGTTTGCCAGAAGTCACGTGGGAAACTCAAAGTCAGCTGGAAAAGTGTTCTATGGTCTGATGAGGCCAAAATTGAGCTTTAGAGCCTTTAGAAACCGCCATGTTACACTGCACATCATCATAAACATAGCATCCCCACTGTGAAGCACGGTGGTGGCAGCATCGTGCTGTGAGGATGATTATCTGCACCAGACCTCAGAAGACTTCTGAGGAAATTGAAATTAATGGAGATATGTACAGAAGAATCCTGGAGATAAAGCTAATGTAGTCTGCGAAAAACCTGAGATAAAGAAGACCATAAAGCCAAAGATACACTCGTTTAAAAAACATGTTGGGCTCAGGGCTTTAATTGCTACCAAAGGGACATCTACTTAATACTGAGTTGAAGGGAATGAATACAAACAAGTATTTTGTATTTCATATTTCTAATTAATTTAAATAAATCTTTAGAGAGATGTCTTCACTTTAACATTAAAGGGTCTTTTTTCAGATCAATGTAAAAAAAAAAAAGAAGCCTCATTGTAATATACCTCGATTCATTGTTGTAAGCGCAAACATGAACTTTAGTGTGCTGTAAATCATCTCCGTACACTCTCAGTTGTAAAGGAATATTCCTAACAATGTATGTGTCATCTCCAAATCATACTTTGTCAAGAGCTCACTGGACAGTGAGGAGTTCATGGTTATTATAAATAAGGTATGCAGCAGAGAACAGCACCCACAACACATAATGCCTGAGGAAACCTGACCTTTTGTGGCGTATGGACACCCATCCCATCATTAGACCAGGGGCCTTGTTTTTTTTATTTATTTTTTATTGGAAGAAAATGTCATCCCAATTATGATCTTTCCTCTAACCTCTACCCCTCTGTGGCTCTCTCCCTCCCTCTTCTCCTCCTTCCTCTCTGCTCTGCACTCCTTATGTGGCCACTGAAGCAAGGCAAATCCAGGCCTGATTAGAGAGGATGGTCAGATGAAATGGAGGAGAGAGACAGAGAGGGAGAAGGAAGCTGAGAGAGAGACATCAAAAGAGAGACAGAATAATAACGGAATAATTTCTGCTGGTAGCCTAAAAAAAAATTGGATCCAACCACCTCTGACAATCTCTTACAGTGACAGTGCAGCATGTCGACTGTTGAAGCTACCGAGTTATAGGCGGAGAATACAGTCCGTGTGTGTGCGCACAGGTGAATTTCAGTTTGAGTATTTATGCAAGTAGGCTAGGAACTTAATTAATTAATTAAAACACACACCGATAAGAGGAGATTAGAGTGATAACAGTGAATTTGCAAGCTGTATTTCATCTCTGCACAAAGTACAAATTGTATATATTATGTAGATCAATTTTGCAATGCATACCTTATGTTCTTAAGATTGATTTCAAGGTGGCAACTGGTTGCTTGGTTCTCATTTCAGTTTGCAACTAAAAAAAGACTGACCAATTTCTTGATTTTTTCTTGATAGAAGTTATGCTATTACAGCATGGTAATGCAAGCTGCAAGTGGGGCAATTTTGACACAGTTCACTTCAAAGACACGTCAAAAGCCCTAATTTTGAGAGTCGTCAGAAATTCAAACCAGCAAGATATGAATTTGTTTCTCGACAAAGAGTATAGAGGCAAGTATATGTGTGATCTGTTGCAATTCGTTAAATGATGAAGAAGCACTACTATTATAAAAGTCTAACTAAAATCATGTCCTAAAAAAGAGACTGGAGCTCCTTCTTTTCTCCTCCCGTCATCTCTCAGCCTTTTCTCTGACGCCCTCAATCCTGCAGCCTGCCCCCCACCCTCCCTCTCTTCCCTCTGCTTCAGTGCTAATAAGGAGAAGTA